TGAAAATGACACTTTTTATGCATATTGTAAGAGGCCATCGTCTTTGAAGTTTTTGTGGCCAGCATGTTAATCTGGTTATGTTAATTCGAGGCTTTGATGATAGGAACATCAAGGACATGTCGTACAGGTGCGAAATATTGTGTTGTTCCCTTGCTAGACGACTGTCTGCATTGCAATATGTGTCCAGTCTGTGGTTTGACAATAAAAGCTGGGTGTTCGGTGGGTAGGGAGAACAGTCTAGAAGACAGTCTGAGACAGAGACAGCTCGCGAGAAGGTTACAGAGAGAGACTGTCCCAGCCCATCGTCTCCCGTGCGTGCGTAACGGCCATGCCTGTGTCCTGTGTGTGTTCTTGCTAGCCCTGTAGTTAGTCTCCCTTGCAGCATCCTAAAAGAACCTGGTGAATTCCACCTCGGTTACACATATGTTATATACTTGTATGATATAACGGCAATCATTGGGATATGTTTAAATGAATCTGTAGTAGTGTTGATTTGATCAATCAGCTTTGATGGGCATCGGACTTTGTTTTTGGTTTCCTACGATATCAAAATAAAACTCAACATGCCCCTTCGAATAATTTACAAAGCTTTGTGTGAAGAACACTTCATCACATCTATACCTACACGTATAAAAGGATGCACAATGATGATAAAACACAACAACAGATATACTCAAACGATATTTATATTTGTGACGTCTTTCAACTCTCAAAATATACAATAACATATGTACAAAGTTAGTCCGATCTTGCTATGTACAGAACTTCTTCAGCAATACAGTTACTGATCTGAATTCTTTGACAGACAATGATATACATTCACAGAGACATGAGAGAGTCTAATATTGCGGTACACGAATAAATTCTGTAGAAAATACGTATGCGTTTGCAAGTTTAGAGTCCGGTTTTGACAGTATGTCAGCAGAAACTTACTATGAAGATGTTGCAGCGTCGCTCTCCTTTTTGCAAAACACTATCGGCAAGAAAGTACTGAGTGTGTAGACAAATAGTAGTAGAACCGAGTTCGGTAGTGGAGTTACCTCTTACCAGAGACATTGTACAATGTATAATGTCCTTGCTCTTACGTTTAGAAATAATCTGAGTTCGTGACTTTTCTCATCTCGTGAACGCAGGATGCTTCCCGAACGGTACTCGGTTGACACTGTCTGTGGGACACTGCAGGCACGAGCAGGGGACCGGCCACTTGGAGAAGGGGCTGCGGTCGTGATGGTGCTCCGGTCTGAGGAGAAGTCCGCTGTGGCTCGCCCGGGACGCTAGCGGGTGACTCAGGGGGCTGTGCGGGATCTGCGACGGGGAAGGGAACAACGCTGGCCCATGGAGTCCCGGTAGAGAGGGCGGTGTCAGAGTCGGGTGAGCGGGCAGCTTGGCGCGGTGCGCGGGGTGGATGTCGCTCACGAGCCGCTTCATCTCCTCCAAGGAACTGTTGAGCATGAGGATGTAGTTCTTGGCCAGCAGCAGCGTGGCGATTTTGGAGAGTTTCCTGACGGACGGACCGTGAGCGTACGGCATGACTTCCCGCAGCCCGTCTAGTGCTGAGTTCAGGTCGTGCATCCTCTTCCTCTCCCGATGGTTGACTTTCAGACGGAGCTCCTGAAGTTCATCCTCAGACAGCTGCTTCTCGGTCTTCTTCAGACTCTTGCTGGTCCTTCTGATCTTCCCCGGGCGGGACCGGGAGGAGGGTGAGGAGGGGGCGGGCGAGCCGCCGCTGGACCAGGACGATGTCGGGGAGGACGGGCGGGGAGACACAGACGGGGAGGTTCTGTTGAACATCGCGGCGTCCGGAGGCTGTTCCATCTTCAGAACCCACTTGGCCGTCTCGATGTCGGTGTTGCTCATATCGTAGCTTCTTGGCGGTCTGTTGTCGAAGAACTGAGCACGCTTCTTGTCGGGCGACTATTAAGGGCAATAGGGGACAATAGACCGAGAACAAACAAAAGGATCCCGAGAGCGTATATTACCATACAGCCAATTGGAGCAGCGTGGTTACGGTGGGCGGTTCTACATGAGAGATATCCAACCAGGGAGGGCGTTGCCCAGAGAAAGAGCTCCGCCTTTCTTTTGTCACGTGAGCTACAAGCCCACATGGTCCCTTTACCTATAGAAAAATCATTACTCATTATCATTTTCAGATATAAGCAAAGCAAAGGTAAGTTCGATGCATCGAATTCGTTGGTGGGCTACTCATAAGCATATACGACATACGTCAGTTAATGTAACGATATAGCTTCCAGTTCTCAAGTTGGTAGACCAAGAGATCTGTCTCCTTTGATATGAGATCTTGGGGACAGTTGGTGGCAAATCGAAACAGACAAGCAGCGGCTATCAAATAGAATCTTAACGTTCTTCTAATGACAGGCCATTAGAAGAACGTTGAAGGCCACCGCTCACACAAAAACAGCACATGCCGCAGCGTTTTGTACGGCAGGGCGCTTTGTTAAGGCCTCTCGCCTGTCTGCTCGCATCTTCAGAGCCGGGCAGACGACAGGATAATGACTAGTTTCGGATGTCCCCACCACAAGTTCGCGCTTTGATTCCTGAGATAATGACCGGTTAGACCGTCTGCACCAGAAGCTCGGGCCTGGGACGTGTCCCGTCCAGTTTCACGGCGCGGACAGAACTGATGGAGGCGGACAATAGAGAACTCCTCCCCGGTACAAATCAGCAGACATTCCCCACTGACCTCATTGACCTTCGCCGGTTGTTACCACTGACGAAGGCTTCAAACGTCATTTGAAATCAGTTTTGTGTGAGTAACCACCTCTGGATAAAGAATGGTTTAAAACGTGAAGAAACAGGTTGAGCGGTCTGACATGCTACACGATTTGGGTCATCCGAGGGGCTTTAAAGATGGCGGCGCCCAGGTAAATGATGATTTGTGTTTATAAATCAGTATTTTATAAAACTCTTGCCAAATAGTACAGGTATAACCATGGTATAACTGATCCCTCACCTAACCAGACCATGAGACCACACACTGTGAGATAGTTGGTGGGAGTGTGTCAGAAGATGAGCCCCACCCTCTCCTGAGGATGTATTGTCATGATTGTTGTGTGTCCAGAGGATGTATTGTGGTGTGTCCTGACCAGGTATTGTGGTGTGTTATAACCATGTATTGTCCTGTGTGCCCTCCGACAGGACAAGTCAAGATGTCTGCTGCCAACTGGACACAATGAGGTGTTGGTTAGTCCTGCCGAAGGGCTTTGAAGGTCAGTGAACTTTAGACCACTGACCCTTTTTCTGGGATAAAAAGGACATTCTTTTCTGTCTCCTTCACTTTGAACTTTTGTCTTCTTGTGACCAGCTGAGCCCTGTGCTGCCTGGAATGTTTGGCAGTCTTGGGGAAATTCTACAAATGTACACCAAAACATGTGGGCTAGAAATTTGCAGTTCTAAATCTTCTTGTCTCCTTTGCAAGATGAATCCCATTTGTTTTATGATATGGACTCAAAGATTAGACCTACAACTATTTAGAAAATCTAACTCTTTGCTTTTTGTTACTTCTTTCCTAGGCAAGATCATACATCATCAGAAGGTTTCTCTCACACCGAACAAGTGCCCACCCCCTACAGTCTTGAGTTTGTTTGCCCAACTCTTGCTCTTCCTCCCCACAGAAGGCACCAAACCTTGTCATCATCTGGTCACAAATGTTCCTGCCCAAAACCACAACATTTGGTCAATTCTAATCCTCTAAGTGGATTTAATTCCCTCCCAGTAATGAAGAAGAAGTGCCCAAATCCTTTCTGTGACAGGCTTGAATGGACCCATCAACTCCTTTATGTTCCTCTTGTCCAGCTTTTCACAGCTTTTTGTGTCCTCAGAAAACACAATCAGAAACTCTGTCAGTGTGGTAAATATTCAATCAGTCCTGAATGGGTTGATGGGTAATCTGGATGGGTTCATTAAAAAGTCAACTGGATCCTTAGTTCTCCCTTTGACTCATCTGTAAAAACCACCAACAACTGGTGAACTCCTGTAGACTGTGTATTGTCTGTATGAGTGGTGGGTGTTTGAATCAATTAGAGATATCCATGGTTTAGGGTTGGAGGAAAACTTCAAACTGAGAAAAGTAAGTACTGGATTTGAAAGTGTCACATTTGTATAAGAAGCTTCCAACAGACTGGCTTCTCAAAACTTGAAAACATTACCTGAAATGTGTACCCCAATATATCTTCTTCCTGTCCTAGCCTTTTCGTCCCAGTTATGTTTGTACCTTGTAGCTTAAGAAAGGGCAGCTTCTTCACATTACCTGAGCGCTATAGAATGAAGTACCCCCAATGCCAGCCAGCCTTCAAGTCTACAATATTTCTTCTTCCTGTCCTTTTTCATCTCAGATCACGGACACAAACCTCAGGACCTTTGGGAGGTGAAGAAGTCAGAGTCAGGTCTAAGGTCTTTCAGACACTTCCTGCTTCCTTTCTCCTGTAATCTCAGACCAAAGGAACATCTAAGAGGTGAAGAAGTCAGACTCAGGGAATGAGTTCATTCAGGCGTGTAATTTGTCCCAATCAGGAAAGAAAAACTCAATTTCAAGCCTTGTTGCGGAGGCGACAAAACCCTTTGTTCTAGTGCTCCTGGCCTGTATTGTGTGGTGGTGACCTCACCAGGGGAGGGGCCGGCCAACATCAGGAATTCTCCTCCAGGTTTTACATCTGAAAACCTCCGACAGAAGCCTTCAGGGTGGCAAGTGGACAGAACAACAATCCCGTCAAAGGACCATCCTTTCTGCTGGGGGCAGACCTGAACTTTGATGTCCTCTTGTGGCCAGACTGTCTTCATCTGTCATGGATATAAAGTCTTCATTAATCCTATACATGGCTTAGTGGGGCAGCAGCAAGGCAGACCACCTAGATGGATTGTAGATTTTCTCCCAGATGCTCGATATTATTGATAAAATATACTAGGAATTTGAAGGAATGGCAACCCTTTTTTCAGGAAGAAATTTTTCGAACATCTCCGGTCTTTGTAGATTGAGGCATATTAAAATACAGCAATATGATCCTTGTATTCATGAAAATAGTTTTAGATCCAAATGTTGAAAAAGGGAAATACAAGTTGCCCCAAACATACATAATATCCTGGTTGTCCAAAGAGGTTGGATAACCTTTTTGTCAATCACTGCCTTTCAAAGCTGTTACCATGGCAACTGGGTCTGTCTGAGTTATCATGTCCAGAGGAAGAGGAGACACCGACGTGTCATCAGTGAATGTTCCGTGTCTTTGTGGTTCTTTGTGCATCAGGAAATGGGTTGGGTGTTAAATGAACAATACAGAGATGTACTTTTACCTCTGTCTGACCTTATGGATTCTTGGGTGGGCTATGATAGAAAGAGTTTTATTTCCAAGCAGATGAGTGGTTTTTGACATGTTTTTGAACATCTTTTCATCCACTTTTGTGTGTCCTTTCTTCATTCTCCAGCTTTCTCCAATTTGTTTTAGAAGATTTTAGAACTAAAAAGAAGTTATATTCCAGAATGTGCAAAATGATGTGCAGCAATTTTTGTTGTAACTTATAATACACATACAGCCCATACTTGATATAGAATGTGGGGCTTTTGTAATGGGACATTTCTCTATGATACAGTGCTGAATTGCTCACAAAGAAGATAAATTTAGCCATATTTATTACAAAGGGCTAAATTTTTCAATGATACAGGTACATGTACCAACAAATTTATTGTGGGAATACTTCTTGCCTATTTCTGACAAAGGTCCCAAGTATACATATATTTCAATTATCCAGTAATTCATAGGGAAAGCTATCTGGTGTCATATAATGTTAATTCGTAATGAGGAAGCAAAAGTTTTGTGCAAAGCATAGCTGTGCCTTCCTGAAGTTAGAGTTAGTCTTAGGCCGCCCCCCTGAAAGCCTGAAATTAGCATGTCCTGCCCCCACCCCTATATCACAAAATCAGACAACCCGTTTTAAAAACCCTCCCACTCCTTGTGTACACAGGACCCCCGCAGCTCCCCCTGGTGGTTGTGTGTAGATTGCACCTCTGGCATAATCCCTGACAGATGGTCCAATGATCTGTATAGTTCATTAAACAGTTTCACACCCTGCTGTCAATCACCAGGCCCTGGTCAATCACCTAATATGTCATAAACAGTAACCTGCTAAGTACCTCATATGGGCATGGCTTTGGGTTGAATAGTTATCATTAGCTGCAAGTTGTGGATAGTTCTCCCAATATGTTTATGCTTGGTCTGATTCAATATGTACTATATGATACCAGAATTCATATCAATAAATTGTTATAGCAGAATATGTGGATTATATTATCTAGTGCATTTTATGATATTTTTTTACAACAAATAGACAATTCACTGTCATTTACAGTTATGTTTTAAAACCATGTTTCAAATAATAAAACAGACGGTAACTGTTTTTGATTCAATAATCAAAAGATGAGATTGAAACAATCCTTTTTTTTCCAAATAATAAGTGAAGGGGAGACATACAGGATCATTTTCATAATTGACATCAGGTTAATTTCAGACTTTTTACATAAGACCAACAGTGAAAGAGACGGACATATGGGGACAATGGAGAAACACCCCATGCAAGGTGGTGATAAATAAAGAGCTTGATTAGAAACATTTGCATAGAAATAGGTGTGACAAATGTTTCCTGTTATACACTGTGCAAAAACCAACAGTCTAGAATGACTCGAACTATAGGACCATGTTGCATATGGTACAATGGCCCAAGATCCAAGGTGCTTTGTTTCGTACTTTTAGTGTTAGTACTATAAAACAAAAGAAACACTTATGTGGGTTTATAATTGACAATATTTTGGTGGGGAGTTTGAGAAATTAGGTGAAATATGGGCACCAGAAGTTATTCATTTCAATTTTTCCCATGGGTTCGCCCCTATTGAAAATGATCTGGGACCCTATAGGGGAGATTGCTGTCACTCAAGGGGCTGTGTCTGTCTGTCGTTAGTTATTATCCTAAAGATTTGCAAATTTCCAGACTTTTGGGCGTCTGCCATAAGGAGACGTGCTTGTCGTTGATTAGAATGATCAGCAGTGCCCCTCTGGGTGTGATGTTCCTTCACAATATCAATATGTCTAGTACATGATTGAATAGAACTGTTAAGCATTCTTGCAAATCTGAGTATTGTAGGATATAATCTGTGATAAAAGTGTAATGCACCTTTATAATTAAAAGTGTGCTAACTTCTTGTTTGGCAAGTTGCTTTGAGGGTAATTAATGCACTCTCTGAACTTTCAAGTGTATCTGTTTTCAACTATATTGTAGTACATGTACATGTAGGATATTGCCTAAGTGGTACATTCATTGTAGTCAGGAATAGTTAAAAGCAGGTATAACTACTAGTACTTATAAGTCTAAACGGGTCTGCAGATCCCCCTTCACAGCTTCATAGGAAATGTAATTATTTTTGGACTTAACTCTCCTAAATAGTTTGTCTTCTACTACAAGATACAACTTACAAGGTACAATGCCAACTGAAATACTGCTCAATATTTTAACCCCTTTATTCCACAAGGCACATTTTGTATGTAACCCTGATGACTCCAACAGACAGCTGATTATGTTAACCATAAATATCAATTGTTCCCGGTGCCGCTCCCTGTGTTCATATGCCACAATGCCGCATCCAGCTTTTCAAATCAGCATGTCTAGCTATTAACACAAGCGTGAAATGTGATTTGCTCCCACAAAAGAGCCCAGGAAGATTTATAGGTCAATATTAGTGGATGTTTTGCCCGAGTGTGTTGCCGTTTTGCCCCCTGCTAGAGGAGCCTTCTGTTACCAAAGCTTGCACATGTTTAAGTTGTTTGCATGAATAACAAGAATGGTTTACTTACAAAATCGCTGCATTTTGTTTTACATACCAAGTAAGAGAAATAATTTTCATTCTACTAGATTTTGTTCAGTAATAGCAACAAAAACATTGTACAAAGATGAACATGACACTGTGTATGCTTTCCCTTGTCACTCATTTCAGTTTGTGTTGTTACCAAAGGATGGTTCATTAAAATCTCAAACAAGGAATATCAAGCCAGATATTGTCACAATTCATACTATGCTTCATTATCAATCAGACTTTGAATACAGTAGTGTACAATACATGCAAAAGTGAGCAGTTTTGGACAAGCAAGCTTCACATCAACAATTTTCATACCAGATATATTAGTGATATTTGCACATTGTCAATCTATGTGTGAAAAATAAAAATAAAAGACTGATAACGTTGTAACTATTTTTGTTAGCTTCTCTGGAGGTAACTTCCCAGCCATTCTCTTATTCTATGTTGATCATGCAAAAAATATAATAACCAATGAATGACATTGATATGGCCTCAGCCCATGTCATCAGAATGACCAGCAGTTTTGCCCCCCACTGGTTCCCCCACTAGACTGTTTAAGCTGGCAGGTGCCCCTGTCAACTGCTTTGTTAACCCTATGATGGATGGGTTATGCTAATGAGGAGTTAGAGAACTTTGAGGTATACAAACAAGTAAAGATGGTATTAAAAGATTAGCAGTCTCAGGATGCTGAAGAAATTCCTTTAAAAATCTAAAGATTAAGTATAGATAATAGACCAATTGCTGACAGTAGAAAAACATTAACATTGTAACCAAAGTTGAAATATCTGGATAACTTTATCACTGTCCCGCATCAACCGGCTCATCATAAGGGGTGTTATGAGAAAACAATATATGTAATATCATGTTTCTTATAACTGAACAAATAGTCATATTTGGATAAGCTTCATTGCACAGTGGACTAGCTACTGATAATTAAACCTACCTTGCACATACTTATAACTTCCACTGGTGCCCAGATATGTCAATGGCACATTTATTGGCAGTACCAATAGTCCTACATCTGTAAGGAAAAACGCTTCCAGGCTCGGACAACATGCATGATCTCGGAACAAAATATGACAAACGGTATACATAGAAATATTGGATTATATGGCAGTGCATATGCAGTTTGCTTGTATTCTGCTAGAGGTTGCTGGTAGCATATACAGTACTGCAATCACTGTAGATTGTCTCTTCAACCTCCTTGCTTTAGGTAAGCCTTGCTATAGAAAAATGGAAAGGTTCTTTCTTTCATGGACTGCTGCTATGACATGGATGCTGCATTAATTTGATATGCCCAACTTTTTAAACAGTGACGGGTGCATTTTCCTAACTCTAGATCGTAAGCCTGTAATAGGTGTTTGTGCTGATTGGTTACCGTTGGAGTTCTGTTCTTCTTGTCTTTGCTCTAGATCTGTTGCCATCTCTCGAGCTGTAGAGAATGTCAGAGTCTTGAGAATATTTTGCCATTCCCCAAAGTCTATGCGGTTCTCGTCAAAGTCCAACTGGCGCATCTTTTTGCAATGCTCCATTAGGGCACGACCTGGAAAAAGATTGGAAGTAATTAATGTGGAGTAAAGTATAACATGTACAAAAATGTACTTCCAACTTATGATTGACAAGTGAAACAAATTTAAACTGACCCTCACATTTCACTATATTTCAAGTTCAACAAAAGTAAAGAAGTAAGTAAGGAGAAAATCCTACCGATGTGGTGAATTTCCTCTGATGTCATCCCACAATCATAGACCTTCAGAATCTTCAGTTCGGACAGAAACGGCAGTATGCTGCAGAAGACGTCACTGGTTCCGGAAAGGTCATTCCCCGACAGATACAGTTCCTCAAGTACCTTCAAAGACTTCAGGGCAGGGAGGATCAGTCGAGCATCCTCTGGCTGCAGATCGTTCCAGGACAAAACCAACTTCCTCAGACGTTTTAAGTTTGGAAGCTGCCGGGATAGCTGAAGACTTGGCTTAGTGAGGGTCGGACCGTACATGCCCAGACAAGACTGTCGAAGATTTAACTCAACGATAGATGAGCAAGCCCCCAACGTATCTAGGAGGGGACCAAGGCAGAACCTTCTGGTATGCGCAAGTCGAAGGGTTATGTCAGGTTCTTGTGAGGGTCCTTCTTCTGATTTGGAAGCGTTGTCGGGTGTTTTTGTCACACCAGAGGGTACATCATGCTGCACCTGAGAGAGTTTGTCACATTTCATCAGTTGTGCAAGAGCACTACATAAGCGCGGGCTTGAACTTGAGAACTGTATGACTCTTCTTCGTATAAAGCTGTCAATAAACCCATCCATTTGTCCCCACTCGTAGTAACATAACAGAGTTGTCTCCAGGTAGGTCTGGTAGACAAAGAGAACGCCTGGGGTGTCAGTAAAGAGACCTGTCATATGGAAGCTCATATAATCTTCTCTACTAGCAAGGCTGTCCCCCTCTGTATTCCTCCTCCAGTCCTTATTCAGGACTCCGCGGTCATAGAAGGTGTAGAAAGCGTCCTGGAGAGGTTTAAGATCCTTCTGGTGAAGGTCAGCCAGGTATTGGAAGATGACGGCTGCCTTTCTTCCCAGCTTCCCACATGCAAAGATGAGCAAATTGTCCATCTCTCTCACCTTACGAACGGTGTCAAAGTTTCCCTCCAATAACGCTCTTCCAGTCGAGTCGTTCTGAGCTGTTATATAGGATGCAATATATCGCCCAGCGAAGTACTCTTGCATTGTTTTGTGAGAGAAAGAGTACTGGGGCGAGGGTCGTAACTTGGAAGGACTGGGTTGCTTGTGCAGGAGACCTAGTTTGGTCAGAGTTGTAGAGACATCTTTGCCTTCTTGAGTAACCTCATCTTCTTCAAATACAAGCTTACCACGCATCAAACCGTCGAATGCAAGCTTTTCAAGGAACAAAACCGCTGCGTTGATATTTGGTGGCAACTTTTCATCAACAAAGGGAATATTCTCTCTCACACAGAACCTTTTGATAAGGTAGAGAATGAGTTGATCGTACAAGGGGCACATGCGGTCACTCAGTAGTAAGTCATCCCTCTCCTCCCACAATATGCAGATGAGAAGCAGAAACATCGGCGTTAACGTGATCCCTGTACTGAGGAAGTTGCTCTCGAGTTTCTCAAGTAATCTCCTTGCTTTCGGGCCGTTGTCGCCGAAGTATTTGCGAACGTAAGTGCTCACATTGTCGGGATGGAAACCGTTAATCTCGAGGCGGGTGTCCGGACGCATTGCCTTCAGCAGGTCAGACGTCCGCGATGGTCGGGTGGACACGATGACACAACAGTCACGAAATAGCTTACCGCTCAGAACTTTGCTGATGTCGTGGGATTCTGTTGGCTCCCATTCATCGTAGCCATCGAGGACAATCAGAACGTTCTTATTTGCTTGTAGATACTGCTTAAGGCTGTCTTCATCGAATGACGAATCTTCAGGCAACAGCTGGTCAAAGATGCAGTCAAAGAACGACTGGGACTCCGCGACTTTTCTTAGCGCTACGCAGAAAACGAGATCGAACCCTGACAAGGCTTTGTTATTGCCTTTAGCCCAGTCGACAACCAGTTTGAACAGTGTGGTGGTTTTACCGACGCCAGGCTGCCCTTCGATTAAAACTCGCCGGGGGAGGGGCAGTCTGATCTGGCCGCCAGAGCTTCTGTCACCGAAGGAAGGGGTTTGCGGTCAACTTTTCCGCCGTGGGGACTCTGTAGCAGAAGATCCACGTCGGTGAAAATGTCGTCCGTCTTCATCATGAAATCTTCGTTCCAAGCCAATGGATGCAACTGGCCCATTTCTTGTTCATAGTGCAATTTAAGCGCGTTCTGACACTCTTCGAGTGGGAAAGGTTTATTCAACTCGTCCCTTTCTGTAGAAAACCAGCGAATATGTCAAATATTACTGCCAATTCATACATACCTCGCGTATCTATTTTCTGTGTATTCACAGGTATACCTAAGATGTTTAACTTTTGATGCAATGTTGAAAAAAATTAAAGCCATCAATAGCCACCTACCTTCCACGGTTGTCGGCCCTTCATAGATGTGTACTGTCGATTGTGGACCGATATTGTAGGTTCTGTTGTTGCTGCCTTCCTGTTGTGTCCGAAACGCCATGATGCTGGTATCTTCTGTTTGTACAAAACAAGGAAAGTAAATGCCAACTCAACTGCTTCACTAAAACATATGAGTCTCAAATGGCAGCACAGATACGAGAAACAAAGATCACTCCAACACGTGCTGTAGATATTTTACTTAGGGGGTCTTTATAATCAAACTTGTGTAAGAAGTGCTAAATATTAATGTGTAAACAAGGTAGTGGCTCTATAGTGTAAGTTTAATAGTGGACTGTTTCTTCATAGTACACAGTAACCGTGTTCACACATACATGTATGACCTGCCGCCGTTTACCTTGTTTATCTACGAGAAGTGCTGCTTGGTCCGGAACAACTTCACTGATCTTGTCATCAAGGTCACCAGCAGGAGTTTCATCATCTCGGAGCTGCAAGGTCATCACCGGTTCCTCTTTGTCGACTTCTTCCTTACAGGTTTCCGTACTTTGGGTTTTCTGTTCTTTCTGTGTTTGTTGAAGGTCAGGGTTGTCCAATGTGACGTCACTTCCGCCAACGGCACCTTCGGCAGTTGGCGTGCCCTCGGTTGAACCGGCTTCCGGATGTGAGGTCCTAGGGCGCCCGAAGTGGTGGCGAACTGACCATCGTCTTAAGCTTCTCGGCCTCTCTGACCGGTCCTGTGGCTCGGTCTTAGAATGTCCTTGTCCCATGCTGACCCTCACTTGTATTGCCTTTGATGAGCTGAAAGTGAGAACATTGAACACAACGATCAGCTTTTTTCAACAGCATACCATCCTCCTTCATAAAACAAAACATTTTACGGTTTGGGTTCATGGCCAAATGCTTATCCTCTCATGATAGGAAACTTTACCCTGGAGACTCGATACTCATCCCAATTACGTTAGTACATGTACTCTGATCTTATACAACACTTTTCTTTGCATTGTCCTTGTTATAGTTGTTGACAATGTTGTGGAAACTTTGACTTGAAGTTTGACATGAAATTTCGTCTTTTCCTCTGTCAGTACTAAATTTACATACCACCGTTAGTCATAAGGCCATGTTGATTTGATTATATGGATGACATCCTCCGGGAACCCCAAAATTGATGCGCGCGTGCGAATAAAAAAAAGTTTTGCAAAAAAAAAAAGTCGTTTTCATTATGAAATCTACGTGGTCATGAGGGTTGAACAAATGGGACAGAATATGGTTTGGCGAATAATCTAGTCTTCAAGTTCATTTCTTTACAATTTCGTCTTTTTTCGTTTGATTTTGGCATTCTACGACATTGGTATGGTTTTTTTTTGTAACTTACGGTATATTTTTGCTCATTTTGCAACGTTTTTGTACGATTTACAGTATGGTTGAAAACTTTTTTTTTAAACGGCCGAAAATTCATGCGCGCGCGGATGTCATCCATATAATCAAATCAACATGGCCTAATTTAATAAACAGCATGCTTGGGTGTCCCCGCTGATGCGATATCAACAGGATTTACAACGGTTGTAGTGCAATCGAATGTTGGTGGACTTTGACCTGTTAACGGTGTACAGGTTGCCATTTAGCCTCTACCAGGCTTGAGGAGGCGGCTGGAAAGAGTAGAAATCGGCCAAAATAGAGAGATAAGCATGCCAAGGGAGTATGGCCGTTGAGAGAACAGTTCGCCGCCTGTTCTCTCAACGGCCATACTCCCTTGACATGCTTATCTCTCTATTTTGGCCGATTTCTACTCTTTCCAGCCGCCTCCTCAAGCCTGGTAGAGGCTAAGGCAGGTGGTCAATATCGGAGAGAAAGGTGGCCGTACAAAAACACGCCAAGGGACCCAGAAGACTGAAACTGGCTACATGGGACAGGTGGTCCTATATAAAATGCAGACGTGGCCACCACACCGTTCGTCGGATATACATTTTCGTACCACATACATTCTTACATATCGTGCATCGCTACATATCTTCCTTTGTACATTGGCAGGGACATGCCATACCTGGTAGTGTGGCATGTATACGTAACGTGGGTATTATTTCCTCAGTACTGACCTACCTTATATGACTTTCGAGCTCCCAAACGTGTTCAATCGGGTTCGTTGCTAAAACTAGTACCGCCGTGGTCAAAATGACGGTGCCTAGACAAGCTGTGGAGGTTAGGCAGACGTCTAAAGAACAGAATTGTTGCCTATATTTTTCACATACTCATGATCAAGACCCCGGTAAAGCAAGCCGAACACGGAAGCTAGTCGACAGTGTAGCGCGTCATGTTGAAACATTTTTTTCGGAAAGATTTTCTTGATTACAGCAAAACCCATGCAACCACAGGAAACACAACAAGGTTAAGAAACAACTAGAATATGTAAGAACAAGTTAGAAGCAGTGTGGTCACTTACCTGTCTGGAAAGTTTCGGGTCTACTAAGTAGAAAACTATTCCCGAAAAGTGCTCCGATCACGATCGGCAGACCTGCGTGTTACTTCCGTGTGATGACGTCAGATCCGATGCAGCCCTCGAGTCAACGACCTCAGGGCCCAATAAACTGCCAAATGATGGATTGGCAGTTTGGTCTGCCAAATCTTGTCATTCCCTACCTCTACCTGGCTCCCGGACAAGTTCACCCTATTTCCTATATCTGACCTTTTGACCTGTCATTCTTAAATTTCTACCCATCTTTCCCCAGAGTAACTTGAAACAACAAGACAAGGTGCATTCAGTATTCTGTTGTGCCGAAAGTCAGTGGTAGAAATTTGCCCCGTGTGCCGGACGTCTCAACAATATTTGTCAACGATAGCATGTAAAACCTTTTTGGTTTAGACCAAAAGTTCTTACCATCACGTTAACCAAATCTTTCTCCTCGCCATCACATAGTCTTTGGGGCATATAGATAGACCTCGGGGCATATGGGTGTAACGTTAACGGAAAACATAAGATTACGTGTGTACTATAACGTTGCATTGACGTTGCAACATTCCGCAAAAAAATAGGCTTCATCGTTTTCGGTGATCCTTGGCCCGCAGACGTCGCAATTGCGTTGCGCAGTAGAGGCCTAATTGTAATGCCTAGTTAAATAATTTTTCTCTTGAAAGTTTTGGTCCAGTTTGGAGACTTCTGGGTAGAAGGAACAGGTAGGGTCTAAACTTTCCTACTTTGGTCGAATTTTGTTCATTTCACCAGTCTTGCCTAGCGCCTACCGAGGGTGGAAGGATACATGGAAAAATTAGGTCAAAAGTAGGGTTTGTTTACGCAATTTAGTTTACTGTTTTCAGCTGTTGTCAGAGTTTGAGCTAGTCAACCCCCTGTTGTTTTCTTTCTATGTATTTGGGAAACAGACCCTTGTGGCTCTGGTGCAGAAGAATTTTCCAGATTGAAATGTGAGAAAGTACTTTCGTGGGGACTTGTCTCAGCGTATAATAACCATAGCTTTCTATGGCCCAAAGTAATTGCACTGCCTGCCCTGAAACCTCCTTCATGCCATTTCTAGCCTTGGCCCTGCTGAAAAGTGTACGTGAGTGCGAAAATAAAGTGACGTCATCATTTGAATCTAACGATACCATCTTCCGAAGGGTATGATATTTCATCAAAATATACCATTCGCATCTATAAAATCAAACAATTCCATTGTAATTTTGACACTGTTTCATATATTATTAGTATTCTGTAGTATTTTGAGTCAATAATACTTTTAACAAAGCTTTTATGTATGTAGATGATTCACCCCTCTAGGAGAAAATGAAACAGTCCGTGCGCATGTACTAATCACGTGAACACGGAAGTGAAGTGGGCCCCACTCATTCGTTCATTTTGTCAGCAAATTCTGCCAGACTTTGTCCAGTAGTGTCCTTGAGACACTTCCTCCGACGTTTCTTTGCCAGTTCTGCACGCCTTCGAAGCTCTGCTGTGAAGCAAACGGCTTTCCTGGGCGCGAACCAACCGCACGAAGACGGGACAGCACCGATATTCTCACACACTGTTTTCCGAGAAATCCTTGCATCATGCAGATTCACAAGAACGGGTAAGCCGACCTTTCTGTCATGATTTCTTGAAATCATTTTTTTCTCCAAACCATATCAGACAATATTTGTACCTATTTAAAGTGAGAAATGCTTGGGAAATGCAGAATTTGTACCCATATGGTGCAAGCAAGCTGCTCAGCTGTTTGTGGTCCTGCATTATTCATGATTTGAACCGAAATAGTGGCGTCCCTATATAACGTTATTACTTTGAACATAGAAAATCACGAAAGAATACTGCCTTTGTAACAGAAATTGAGGTACAGAAAATTCATAATCTATCTTCTTAAATTTCTGCTGTATTTTCCCGGTGTCAAATGCCGACAAGACAATTTTTAGATCCTGGAATATTTTATTTGGGTAACGGCAGAAAGATGATGCAAGATCTCAAGTGCTGCTGTTGACACAGAACCCACAACCGCACGGTCACCCAACTGTCCAACCACGGGTTGGGCTTGTTTTGTCGAGCTTTCTATTTTCATTTGCCAGGCTTTCTTTAGGTGTACTGGCCAATTCTAGATCCAAAGAAAAGCTGACAGAAACATATAGAACGCCCGACAAAACGATAAACAACGTCCGAACCAAGCCTAACATCTGCTTGGTATAACGCCCACCCTATCCTGAAATTTTGCTGGCTAATTTTGCTGGCTTTGTGAACAAGATAGTCCAAGTCTTTTGTGGCAACATGTATACATTTTTACATGGTTCCATCACCTATGTTGTTGATTGGGTACCAGTATTTTTTTTATTGAAACAGACTTGTTGTCTTACAATGCCAGCTGAGCCAATAAAATTAAGAAAAGCAAATGAAGTTCTGTTTAATTAACCAAGGTGTATGACGCCCCTCCGAAGATAAAGCCCTTAAGAAGTGCTTATCCTAAGATATTGTGGTTAACTGTTAGCCATTGAGCACACCTATAAATTGAAAAACAGTCTGGCATGTTGATGCAGAAATTTATCGTGCAAAAACAGATTCAGAGACTGAGACTAGTTCAACAACCTCAGACTTCTTAAAATGTCTCTCTTCCTACCTATGGGAACTATGCTAGATTTATAGGAAGAACAATAAGAATGGGAATGGGAGATGTTGAGTTTTTTCATTCATTCTCCTACTAGTATGTACCCATATGGTGCGAGCTAGCTGCTCAGCTGTTTGTGATCTTCTTCTTATTATTAATATGTATGTCGTTACAAAAACTGTTGACCCAGAAGAATATGTTGATGACGCCAATGACTTCTTTTTGGGACAACCACGTGTGGAACCATGTGAGGCCATTGCTACCACAAGAAATAGAATTCTAGAGCTATACCCTATCCTAGAAAATACACAGCACAGTGCAACAAAGTTTTCAGATATGAACTTTATCAGACTTGCTGTATTGTCTGTTGGCACATAAAAAACAAGATGCAAGCATTATCAAGTGTTGACAGGTTGAAAATGTTGTAAAGATAAATGGTCATCATTGCAGCATGTGACTCTAATTATCTTTGTTATGGAGAGTTGTGTAAGCTGACCCTAGGCTTATCTCTCAAATAGACTTCCGTTGGGGCTTTTTCTGTCAATTGCAAGTTGTTTAAAAGTTTGACCAATGAGGTTCAATACTAGATTGAACCTCCTTGCTTTCACTTGGCATTTAGTTCAATCCAGGTTTAAACTTTTATGCTCTCACTTTGAAGTGTGTTTTCCCCTTTCTCTTTAAACCTCCTTGATTATATCTAGTACTAGTACGTAACTGCATGGGTTTACTGTAAATGCATTTATTTTCATGGGGACTCAATTTCACTATAGACGCCGCCATGGAGCTTTTTGTTGTGTCTAAGTTTGGGGTTAATTTTACTGGTACCATTGAAATAAGCTTGTACATGTATAAACAAAATGTGATACAAAGTCATGATTTCATTGTGTAGTGATCACTGTAAAATAAAACCAACATGAATATTTCCAAATTTACAGTAAATACTACCCTGTTGGGTAAGTTGTTTTCTTTAATGGCCCTTACATAACAAAAACGTCTTGATAATTTATTCCCAGTAGACGAGTACTAAATTGGCCCCAACGGGCATATTACATCCTCTTCCGACCCTTTCTCAATACTACATGTATTTCCAACTCTCAAAATCAGCATTTTTCAAACTTTACATTTTTGTGTTTCGCTTGTTGGAAATCCCTGTGTGGCCTCAGCGCAACTGTGCCTGAATCGTAATAGTAAGCTACTGGGGTGGAAAGATTGCATCAGCTCACTTGTGCACCCCTGGAGTGAAAAGGGTCACCCACCACCACGTACTGTTCACATTTACTCTACAAACAGAAAAAAAACCGCCATGACGCAAGTAAAAAGCCCTTTCTAACAAGTTTGTTATCATTGTGAAATCTGGAGCTGATGAAATAGTTTTGCGCTCTTTTTATTGGCTGTTTCAAAATGATTGACATGGGCGAAGTGAATACCTCATAGCCACTGTAGCCGTATTATGCAGGAATGAAGTTCCAAGGACCTACTTAGCAACCAACCGCATAGCCGTGGCGACTATTGATTCGGGCTTACATTGCATTACCCTCAGCAATAGTCGTGGAAAGATCCATTGGCAGAACTGCACATTTCCCGTTGGCTGCTCGATGCTCCGTTTTTGACCCGGTTTTTTGCTGTCCCGAGCTTCCCTACAATATAACTCCACAATTGGCCGGGTTGCCGATGTTTAGATCAGCCTAAATATTCCACAGCGCGACAGAAAAGTAGTAAAATAGCTAGTCGGCACAAGCTGGCGCCATCTTGGATATAGTCGGGAATGTCCGCTACCGCCGTCGGGAACGCTCGGTAGCGTCACGATTACCGAAGCCCGACCGAAAGCTCTCCGATTATAACCGGAAAGGCTACCGAGCGTTCCCGACGGCGGTAGCGGACATTCCCGACTATATCCAAGATGGCGCCAGCTTGTGCCGACTAGCTATTTTACTACTTTTCTGTCGCGCTGTGGAATATTTAGGCTGATCTAAACATCGGCAACCCGGCCAATTGTGGAGTTATATTGTAGGGAAGCTCGGGACAGCAAAAAACCGGGTCAAAAACGGAGCATCGAGCAGCCAACGGGAAATGTGCAGTTCTGCCAATGGATCTTTCCACGACTATTGCTGAGGGTAATGCAATGTAAGCCCGAATCAATAGTCGCCACGGCTACCAACCGCAGTGGGAGTGATGCAACATGGCTGAAAAACAGGAACTGTTGACGACGAAAAGTACTTTCACATGCGCAAGCATCTCCAAGGAAACACTGAATTTAGAAAATAAACAGATCTTGTGGATTGAGAATTGACAGACCAATTCACAAGTTTATCCCCGGTGTATTTTATCCACATGATGTACGGCAGTGTTTCCGCCAGACTGCAGCTGAGAGGCCGTCCAGTTGGGAAGGGCCGGGTCGCGAAAATTAATTAACTTAGGGAACACGTCGCGAAAATTAATTGAGGGGGCGGGGCATTTGTTTACACTTGTTTACAAGTTGAAACTGTCCACAAGCATTCCACATTTTTTTGTATTGACATAAAAACACTGTTACAGATGGCAAACGTATCGTCAGGAAATTATACTGTTGCAAAACTCTGCTGCAAAACTCCAAACATCGGCATCATTTAATTATAACCTCCGGTAGCGCCCGTGCTAGCCGGATTTTTAATAGTGAAAAGCCTTGCTTCGTTCGTACTCGTACTTCTTCCGTACATTTCCGCTACGAATTACTAGTTAATATCAAGCCAAAAATACATCAAAACATGTAAAGAAACGTCATCTTATCTCTCATACACGAGACAAATTTTGAAAAATAATTGTCGTAGCTTTCATTGCTGTTTCATTCAACAAAAATGCTCCTTGATTGTAAAATGATCACTCATCTGTTGTCTCCAGTACAGTGTCAAATGGTAGCGTGATCGTAGCGTGAGAAAAATCGGCGTTAAAAGTCAGAAAATCGCCGGAAAAATAAACTTGCAGCGCGCTAGCGCACATTCTCAACCTCGCCGGAGAAGGAAATACGCGCCATTTTGTCATTAATATGTAAGTAGCAGCGTGAACTCTACGCTCTGATTGGTTGACCTCATATGACCTGCGCTCTGATTGGATAGAGCCATCTTTGCCGGCATAGCTGTAGAATTTGTTTGTTGGCGAAGAGAGTTACACTACGCTACTTTCTACGGTGTTTCTACCGCTAATTAGTAACATTCCATTAAAGAAATTCATTATGAAGAATTTTTGGGAAAATGTATGCATCTATATGCCGATTTGTGGTGCCTTTCGCGTATTCAAGCAAGCCGGAAGTGTTAGCGAACCGCGGCGTGGATAGCGAACTGCGGCGTGGATTTTCATGCAACCCGCCCGCTACAAGACCATCAAAAACAAAAACGTAACTCCCAAAAAAAATGTTCACATCCGAAATGATTCTGTTCGAGGAAATATGTTTGTGGATACATTTTACCGGATGGAGACTTGAAAAACGGGTTTTAATGAGATTACTAAGTAACGTATGCGAAAGGCGCCGACATCAATTGTTCGTCAGCATGATAACAATAGCAAAACAAACAACGTGTGTCTCTCTTGCCTTGGACGGCGTCCTCGTCTACAGCAACAAAACAAAGACTGTCAATTTCTCTGATTTTTCCGAGTCTCGAAATTTTTTAAGAGGACGGCCTCTGTCCGAGTTCAGGCCGTCCAAAACGACACCAGGCCGTCATATGACGGGTGGACGGCCCTCTGGCGGAAACACTGATGTACGGTAACTGTTTTCTGTAGGTTATACACTTATAGTTTATGAACTTCAATGTGCTATTTTGTCAGTCTTCTTTGACTAAGCATTTGCCTCTCATTTTCAGTGCCAATGCCGGTGTGAGCAACCAACAACACGATATGGACGGTCGCGAGCCCTCGGCTATCCGGCGCTACCAGAACCGCCAACCTGTACAGCAGGACCCAACCAGCAAGGTGTGGCGTCACGGTCAATAGTTTTCTCAATAATTAGTTAATAGATTACTCAATGGTTTACACAACTTGGAAAGGTGGGTCTATCCAGCACATCAGCAGAATGTACTGCGCCTGCATGAAACCCTGATTTTTCACGGTTTTCATTGGCTTTTTGGTCAATGTTGCATCAGAATTTTGCCTGTTGCAGACAATATCTTTTCCCATATAACATGTGGAAACTACAGACAGTATGTTAACCTTATACATTGTACATGCGAATACAACCTTATATGAGATGTTTTGCCGAAGTGCCATGCACAATTAATACGCAAAGGCGCAGTACGTTCTGCAGATGTGCTGGTCTACCCTGACTTATCATTTGCTAGCAAACGCAGAATATTTCCTTCCTGTCTTTTTCCTGCTATGTTTAGTGTGGGCAGCAGTACAACTTCTTGTCTTCCTGTATATGTATATTCCTGAATACAACTTAAGTGGATAAATGACAAAGTTGACCACCATAACCTTTTCAAATAAAAACACACCTTTCTACCCATGTTCCAGGATGCCAATACTCCAGTGCAGATACGCAATGGCAACAGTGGAAAAGAAGAGCCAAAAGAAGACCATGGTGCTTGGGGACCAATCTTCAAGGATCGGGACCACTTTGTGGAAATGCACATCTGTTAGTTCCACCCAGATAACAGTGAACACCAGGGCCAGACATGTGCTCAGCACAGTCAGCATCTTCTGAGAGACCAAATCACACCTGTCCACTGTCCATTCTTCTAAACTGAGTTGACTCAAGCAATACACCTAGGCTAGATCTGCTCAGTTTAGTTTCTTACACCCCGTTCACAGTGAAACTTGTCGATCCGGATCGGTCGCCGATCGGGATCAAAATTATGCAAATGAAGTCAATTCGGATCGGTTTTCGCAGTGTGAACGCTCCAATCGGGATTGATTTTCTCCAATCCCGATCCAAAAGTAATCCACCTCGGGGAGGTAGTTCAAGACACTTGCGGCGGATCGGGATCGGGCGTAAACGCGAGTGTGAACGCAAAGTGGATTGGGTTCGGGGTTCGCTAGTGTGAGACTGACCACAAATACTACCACTACCGATCGGGTCTTATAATATGCGGTGACAAGGACGTTGTGTAATGCTATGAATACATTGCCAATCAAAATTATGAATAGAAAATATGCAGAAAGATGTTTACAACAACCTCCCTGCCCCAACGTTACACTCAAGTGGAATGGCGAGCCAGTGGAATCGAGTGTTACAGCCCGAAAAATATCGGCCTTCACGCAACTAAACCCTGACCACCCAAACATGTTCAAAGAGGTGTTCTCTTTATTTCCGCTAAGATTCCAGGCTGTACAAACTTTCTGAGTTCTTTTCTTGCAAAATTTACGGCGGAGTTACAGCGGCTATGGCATGCAAAGTTTAAGATGGCGGGCTCGTGACACCTCAATCCATTTCTGAGCGTGATGCCCTGGCAATCCGGATCAGCAAAAAGCAGTGTGAACGCGCGGGTCGATCGGGATTAATGAATTTCTGATCGGGATCGGCAGTCAATCCAGATCCATTTTTTCACTGTGAACAGGGTCTAAATCTCATTCAAACCAAACTGCATGATCAGGAGATTTCTTATTCTTAGGCCATTTTTGTGGTCTGGATCTGTTCTTGATAATGCCAACACCTTGACAAGGAAAGGAAGTATTGAGAAAGTTTGGACTTGGTAGAGAAGAGTTTGTGACAGTTGTGTTGATTGGACAGGAGCTAGATGCTGATTGGTTGGTGTAGCTGAGCACGTGATTGGTCCTGGTGGATCATGTGGTGTTGTGGGAAAACTGGTGACCCAGATGGTGATAAGGTTAGAACTGTAGCCATATTATAAGTGTAATGGTATGTGATTTTTATTGTACTCAAACTTGTGAAGTCTCCCATTTTAGTGGACTCTTCCACAGCTTTAATTCATATTAGCACAAAAAGTGGCCATATAACGCCTTTTGACTCTGAAACTAGATACATAAACAGTAACTGAAAATATTTCCTGAAAAAGTGTGCAAAGATACCTGTGTTAATTCCTATAAAACTTATCTTATATCTGTAATCATGAAGCTAGTACTGTTCTAAGACAGATTACTCCAGAAACAATGTTGTCCATAACTCGGTTCGCACAATTTTTATCTGTCACCCGATTCAGGGTTAGCAAAGGTAAAAAAAACCCTTAGCTTTGTTTTTAACCAGACGTATTTCAAAACATAATAAAGCTCATGTCAAACTCTTATGTCTATTGTCAAAATGTCTGACTTTTAACTAATTACATTTCTTTAGCACTAGTCATGATATACAAGATGTAGCAAATTTATACATTACAATAAATTTCAAAAATTTAATGTAATAGAAACATTGAAGTTACAAATATTCTTAGGAAACATTGAAAGTTTTATACTAGACACTTCTAGCACAAGTGAGTTTTCATTCTAACTTAGCTTACAACAATCTACACTTCTGGTGTTTAATACAGTTCATAAACACATTACTGTATGTCAAATCAGTATAACAATTGCAACATGCCTAAATCTCAGTTTTGAATTTAAATGAAAGTTCATCTGTGATGGTAAATGACATGAAGATTTCCAACGCTGAACTTGTGCACAAAAGTAAGCTTTCCGTCAGATCTCTGTGCTTCAGTTTAATTTGAGAAGGGTCAGAGATATGACTGAAAGCTTATCAATGTCAGTCAGCACTTTGCTGTTGTGCATGTTGATACAGATACTTTAGCGTTTTAAATCTTTAAAGCATTAGAGGATTTTAATCCATGACCATGTTGTTGGGCATGACAAAGTCGGGTTCATCAACATCGCCATCGAAATGTTTCAGAGCAGTCAAAAAGAAGTTCCTTTCCCAAGAACCAACCCAGGAGCTCGAAATTTTATCCCCCTTTTTCCGTCCGCTCTGCATAGCGGTACCTTCCTGACTACCCACATCGAACACGGCTCGCATCTCCGAAGCATCATTATCGGTCGGAACATCAAGTTTTTCCAGAACCTTAAGAATGATTTGTTCTTTGTGCTCCAAGAGCTGTTCATAGCTGAGACAGGCACGGAAGAAGTTATCCGAATCGTCCTGAATCAGTTCACATGCCTGTTGCATGTGTATGATCCAAAATGTGACAAACAGGAAAGGCATACCACGGCGAACAGGACAAGTGGCCATCCGCGGAAGTGCATATACATACCTAAACATCCGTGGTATGCTCTTCAACATTACGGAGAGAAACATAACATCAAGTCTCAATGTGGTCGCAAAGAAGTAAAGCCAATATCTACCAGAGAATATGAGCTGAATAGTAGAGTCGTAGTAGCCAGGAAGGTCTCGATAAAGAAAGATGTTCTTTGCGTCCGGTACAGCTCGCTGCATCAGGTCTGCGACGAAGACTGCCACACTCCGAGGCTTGTAACAGATGATGGTCCTGGTGGGGTCGTTTTGTAGGAAACAGTAGTTGAGCAGGGTGATGCTGTGTTTGAGCAACATCACGGCTTCAGCCTCCTCCTCTGATGTTAACGGAACATCTCTTGCCCAAGCATGCTGGGAAAGAAAGGGAACAATGGTGACTTTTACTAGCCTGGAGTCCAGCCTTGTTAGCCTGCCAACAACATTGGGAGTGGACCAATGCTAAAAAAGCTGGACTTTTACTAGCCTATGTTTACCAAACCTATTTTAGCCGCCGAGTCTCTTTTATCTCTGAAGAAAGAGACTGGGCAACTAAAATAGGTTTGGTAAACAGGCTACACTTCTATAACAAACAAACCTAACATTACCGTTCATTCGCAATTTATGGTCCTCACCGATCTGCATGATGTGACTGTGACATCACAGAAGCAGTGGATTGCTCATTCCTTGACAAAGACTGGAACTGGACAATGGACTTTTTATGTTGGAAATTACAGGCCAACAATCATGCTACAGATGGTGAAGTTCTTATATGATAGTTAATCTTACCTCAAAGATCAGAGTGAAGATGTCAGGTTCTGACACAGCCTGGACTTGACTCATCACATCCATAGCTTTGCACATCAGGGTGGAGCCACAGCGACCTGCACAATATAAAACGTTCAAGATGTAGTAATTGTATCTATGACAACAGATTTGGACAAACGGAGTTGATTATACATATATAACAGTAATATTGGATAACATCCATGCATGCATCCATTTTTGCCCGTTTCAAAAAAGTTGCAACCATATTGTTAATTGGTATTATAGATATAACTGTATCTATTCTTACCAGTACTATGCAGGAAAATGTTTTTCACTTCTGACAAAGATTCTGTCAAAGCATCTGTCACGGCTGGCAGCACATCAAAGGGGATTAGCAAAAGCTCCTCTGCAGTTTCACGCTGTGCCTGAAAAATAATTAGGTATTAACGTTATTTGTGTACTTTCATCGTTTTTTTTTCTAAATGGAGATGAACATCAGATCATGCATTGGCAAAGGTATGGAACTCCAGTTTTTTCTTGTTGATCCTTGTTGTATCTTGAATTAGAAGCACAATTGGAGACTGTTCCCACAGGAGTTTTTGAAAGCAAAACATCTTGAGAGCTGCCCTGTACATATTAATTAGACCCCTATCCTGGGCCCCTGGCCTATTATGAAATACGTGACTAGTGTCCTAAATCTCCAAGCAGACATTGAGATGGAACATAACTACTTTTCCCGTTTTGCTCACACACACCCCACACTTATCTGTACTTACCTGAAATAAAAATGGCTTTTTCCTGATGTCGACACCTTCCCTCGCCTTGACCAGCCCCAGAACTCGCCGATCGAGGTCGAAACTGTACACGGAGAACTGTGCTCCATTTTCTCGGAAGAATTTCACAGGGTCGGCTACTGCTTCTGTCGTATCCGCCTCAAACACAGAAGTACTCTTCGTTTGAGATTCCGACTGTTGCACCGGCAAGAAGTCGTCCAAACAAGCCGGCGACATTGTTGGGGTCCCTCCCTTGAGAAAAATTTCTCTGCAGCGGACTTTTTGTAAGCTGGCCATCTTGTTGCCCCACTTTTAGCGGCGATGCCCACTCTCTCTGGACCTTGCTCAAGACAAATCCACACGGCACCAATCTCAATCTTTGCCGGAATATCTTCCCAGTGGCCTCCTATGTATAAAGTACATCCCGTGTTTTAAGTCGGAAAAGACATAAATCTGAAAGTTGACAAACCGTTCTCTTGAGAGAAAGCCAGAGGCCCACAGGAAGATGAAGATTGCCGTCCGTGAGTTGCGCCACTGCGTATTGAGGGTCAATGACCTGGCCAGGTTATAATGCTGTTAACTGCAGTACTGATAAGACTGGATAGATGTCGCTGTGAGACTGCGCGCAAATTACATGCATTGGTTCATCTTAACACCATAGGCCCTTTTTACACTGCACAATTACTTGCCTACCCGCACTTCCCCTCGTTGAAAAACTCATATAAAGCCATAGTGAATTATTTCGGTTTTTGATTCTTTGTGTTGAGTTGTTCAAGAGTATGTTCTGTTAATTTTACAGACATTAAAAAGTTTTTTCTTCGACTGAGTATGTGTAGTGATGATGACCTATGTGGTCTTGGCGTTCTCCAACGCCTGGCAACTGTTTCCAAACAACATGGCGGCCGGGGACTGAATTAAATCAACTCTTCTGCGGGAACTTTCAACGTTTTACCATGGAAGGGGACGTGGCAGGGGTCCGAATCAACCCTCCCGTGGTGGAATTCATAGATATCGTACCAAACGAGCAGTACAAATGTACCCTAACCGTCCAGAATATCAGCAGAGCGAGTAAAATTATCAAGTTCCACGCGCCTTCGACCAGCGTAAGTGAACCTTTCCTTTGCGTGATAAGTTCAAATCACAACGCTGCAAGCTTTTAATTTGCATTTAGGGGACTCTAATGGAGCGTATAAGCCATATTATAGGCTTCGTAAATGTTTTATGCTCCAATTTATTCCCCTGCGCCACGCTCACAGCTCGTTTTAGGTGGATATTTTTACGGGGTTTTGGTGTTTGTGGGGAAACTGACAGCGTAAACAATTCATTTGGTGTTTGTGAGAGTGGGAGGGGGGGCGTTTGTGCCAACTTCTCAAAACGGCCCATATGTATGTTGCCTGCAACAAAAATAAACTGTCATCTCATAACTTTCGTAGTCAACGTCTTTGATTTATGGAAATGCATGCAGGGGTTGAACATGGTGACGTTTTTAAAAACACAATTATGACCATGGAGGTATAATATTAATAATAGAGACTATAACTTACATAGAAAGTAATCTAGTTTGGACAGAGAAATATTTTCTGTAAAATCTTGCATTTAGTCTTGCACTTCAAAATGGTGATGGCTTTTTTTGTCTTCAGGAGTTTAAGTTGAAGGTCCGTAACCCTGACCGTCCGGTTGCGTCTGGTCTGGAGGTGACAGCGACTGTGGACTTCCAGACAGACAAGAATGAAGACTGTAAGGACAGGGTCATCCTCCTGGTGGACGAAGATGTGGTGGAGATACCGCTCTATGCGTAAGTGTTCGATTGATACACTATACAGCATTAACCTAATTATACATAGTTAGGCCATGCCAATTTGATTGGTAGGTTCTCGGATCTTTGCAGGAAATCAATGAAGTGGGTGGGTAAAAAAATGACATGATCATCCTGTGTTACTCAACTTACTGCTAGTTACCATTATAGGAACCACAGGGTCAAGATACTAGGCTACTTTATGATTCAAACAATGAATTTTCAACTTTAAATCAAATTGCTGTATTGAAATTTGAATTCCCCTGGTAGAATGAACCTGTAAATACAGTAATGTTACGTACAGCATACGGTATGTCTTCTCTGTCACGACCAGTGGAAGAGCTGTTCACTGAGTTCATTTGAGCTTAACTGGTTTGAGATCACTTTCCTTTGTTTCACTTCTTATGCATTGTTTCAATGCATTGTTACTCAGCATTGTCATCAATAAATTCCCAATCAAATTTTCCCCTCTATAGGTTCACTCCCAGCCCCATCATGGTTCTCCATGGTCCCGTGGATTACGGCATGGTCGTCGCCGACAGTCGCATCCTGAGGCGCGAGACCGTGGTGGAGAACCATGGCTCCATGCCGGGCGAGTTCAAGGTCAAGTACAACGGAGCCCTGCCCATAACCATCGCACCTACATCAGGCACGGTCGAGCCAAGGTCCTACCAGATCATCAGGGTTAGTTACAAATGTTCTCAGTTCTACAGTTACAGTAATCATTACAATCAGTAATAGTATCTACAAAATACAGTTTGGTAGGAACAACATTTGAAAAAACTGAAGAACTGAATTTACAATGTAAAAGGAGAATTTTAAGGAGAATAAAACTGCTACAAAATTAAACAAATTTACAGTATAAGCTCTAGCTTTTTTCTAGATAAAGTTCTTACTTTAACCTGTGTTCTTTTTACAGATTGAATTTGCAACAAAGGATCCTGGCACATTTGAGGAAGAAGTTGAGTAAGTAACAAAAGACCAAAGAATTCCTGCCCTCAATTTTTCATCAATTTCACTCTGTTTAATGATTTTGCTCAGCTTTTTTTCCCAACATCCTATGCCCACTTTCCAACCTGTAAAATGGACCAGTCCTGATCACCCTGCTATGTTTACAGAGTGCGACTGGAAGGGCAGGACCCACGCACTCTCGTCATCAAGGGGTGTGTGGTTGAACAGAAGCTGCACCTACAGAACAAAGACAGCGAGCCGTTAGACTGTGTAAAGTTCGGCTCCACCTTCTACGGGACTGACTGTATTGAGACAGGCTACCTGTACAACGAGGGGCCGAAAGAGATCAGCTTTGTGGCCATTCTTGATGAAGGAGGGATCGGAGAAGAGGCTGTAAGTGATTTGGACTTTTTTGGCAACACCACTGGGGCGGAGCTGATAGCTGTACTTACTGTATTTATTTCCCGGTGCAGAACTACTGTTTTTGGTGGCTGAGCAGTGGGATTGTGTGTGTGTTTGTTTGGACAGAGTAGGTTGACAACACATGGGTGGGGGAAGATGGACAGGTAGAATGACAGGTCAAAAGGTCAGACACAGGAAATGGGGTGAGCTACTTAGGTTGTGATTTGTTGGACAAAGATATTTTTGAAAAGTTGGATGGTTAATGTTTCCATTTTGATGTCAGGAATGTACCTGCCATTCATTTTTGCCGAAAGAATAGTTAAGTTATGTATAGTATGTACTGATAGCTATCAGTATTTGCTTGATATTCTAATTAAAAGACAAACATTTTTGCACTTTACTACCTTTTTTCTCCTTCAGCCACCTTGGATGAGAGTCATGGTTAAAGAGGTGATGTTATGCACCTGACAGGTTTATTATGACTGGGATAAGGAAGAAATAGCATTAAGGGGACTGTTGCTTGTCATCAAGATATAACACTTAACAAAATTTGTCTCTTTGATTAAAAGGATCATGTTGATTTTTAGAGGGACTTGTTGCTGAACATGCTAACAAAATTGCCAGTGTGAGATGAGTATGGGAGATCAAAAAGAAACTAATTTTGTCTTATGTGAAACATTGATGACAACTGGCAGTCCCTGGCTAACTAACCCTATTTGTTGTGCAATACGCTAACATGTGTGGCAGCGGTGTAGCGTGAGTGGTGGAGGGAAGTGGTGGCTTTTTGTACAATCTGAAGTTTACAACAGTTTTACAATGATTGGTTTGTTTTGAGATCTATTATGCAAACTTGTATACAGGCAGCTATCTCAAGGATTATACCGATGATTGTCAAGTTTACAGTTAGGAAAATCTTGAAACAGAAAAAGTGCAGAAGGTTGAAAGAATAGTACTGTTGACCGGTTGATTCAACCTCCTTCTCCATGCTAACCTTTCTGGTCCATGCCTGACTGATAGTGAGTACAAACAAGTTACTAAGTTGTCAATGATTTTGTACACTAGGGAGTTGACTTGACAAAGAGCACAGCGGCTACCCTGGCGATAGCGGACAAGGAGCGCGCTCGTGGCAGCTCCAATCCACTGACCTCACTCGTCACAGCAATCCCTAACCAAGGAATGATCGGTCCGTACCAGAGGGTGCCCATCCATTTCCGGTTCGCGCCACGCTTCAGCTCGGCCGAGATTGGCTGGAAGGGGCTGACAAAGTCTCCGCCACGACAGGACTACGCGCTGTACATGAGGTTTGAGATGATTGGCAGCCGAGAGGGCATGGTCACCAGGGACTTCCTGGATGGGAGCGCCAGAAACGGAGGTAGGATCAAGATTAGAAACTGAAGTTACCATGAAATTTGCAGGTAGGCAGTCTAAACAGATTAGGTTGACAACACATGGGTGGGGAAAGATTGACAGGCAGAATGATAGGAGGTCAAAGGTATCGGAATCTGACCTGGAGCCAGCAGGAAGTAGAGGTCAACATGGGGCCAGGGAATTCAGGAAGCTGATGAATGAACACTACAAAGAAGTCTGAAATCTCTGATTTGAAATTTTTGTCTATATTAACAAGAAGGATTTAAACTGGTAAGGACGACTTACTATGGTAAAAGTGTGGAAGCTTTCAGACGGCATCCACCATCTTTCTTCAGCTACTGACGAAAATCTTGTTTATTTTTGTTTCTAGTCACAGGTGTTGAGGTCGCCATAACTGCCACGGCCCTGCCCATCCTGGTGAACCTTTCCCCGCACAACGCGCTGGACTTCCACGAGTGTCCGGTCGGGGAACACGTGGACGCGCTGTGCACGCTGCGTAATGAGTCCACCATGTTGCCTCTGATGTACAAGTTCAGGAAGATCGCTCACTACAGCAGCACTCCTTACAAGGGCAAGATTGGGCCAGGTAAGGATGGACGATTATAGAACCCAGTGTCTATCAATTTTTCTGGTGATCTAGCAGTTTTCTGCTGATCTATGACTTCTGCTACAGAATTTTTGCCATGAAAAGACTTAACACCAATTCTTTACTCCCTTTAGGAGAGGGACAGGATCTTGTGTTCTCCTTCGCCCCAAAACAAGTCGGTAACCTCAGGAGCAACATGGTCATGGACATCGTTGGTTACCGTGCCAACGAGGATGACCCCGCCCGCCTCATCAAACAGGCCGTGCACTCCTTCCCTGTGGAGTTAAATGGGATTGGTCAGCCGCTGGTCAAGAAGAGAGACCCTAGGTTTAACCCAGGTATGTCAGGGCCAGTCCATTTTGAATGGTACATTCATGTATGATCGTTATGATCATTAAATGGTTTGAGTTCTCGGTATAGTCCAGTTCAAAACTTCTTTGAGGACACTAATTGAAAGGAATGGGATATTGAAAGGAAGTGCTGAAGATTAAGAAATGCAGTGCATACAAGGCTTTTCCAGAAAAATAAAGTATAATGCAAGATGACAGTTGACAATACTCCCCATTGCATGACTTTTTAAAATTCATTCCCCCTCTGCCTTCAGGCATCACCCCACTAGTTGTGGGAGAAACAGGACAGTTTGTTGACGTGACCTTCTCAGACACGAAGCCCTACACGCCGCGCGCTGCCATGCTGAACTCCACAAAAACCTCCATACACACCCCCAAGACTCTGGCGGGGTCACGTGAGGACAAGAACGCGCTGGTGGCCTATCCCAACGACAGGGCAGGCAGTATCAGGCCCAGTGATAGGAGGGAGAAATACAGGTATGATGTCATCAGAATTACATTGACCAATCAACTGCCATGTAGCATAACATGTCAGTGCTTTGTACAGTAGAATACTTAGCCACACAAGGCATAATTTTGATGTAACAACAGAAAGTTTCCAAATGTTTACTAATTTGTCATTATAAGCCAGTTCAACATTGTGACTTGTGCTTGCGCAAACATGAAGGCCTGTAACTTTTGAACAGTTTTTGTCTAGACCATGACCTGTTTGTGTATGTCTATGCGCTAGCTGTGGTCTTAAATTTGACACAATACCGATGACAATGCATTAGAAGTTGCACATGATGTGCAGTTTAGACCATGAACCAGCTTATAAAAATATAATGGGTATCCTAGTAATGTATTTGTGAACCTGTCCTGACCAGTATTGGTTCCTTTCTTAGGACCATCTTCACCAAAGCCGAGCGGCACACATTCGTGGACCCAGACTATGCCTACACGGAGGAGGAGGAGCAGAAAAAACACGAGCACAAACAGAAGTACATCGGCTTCCTCCGGGAGCAGCGGAAAAACAGGGAGAAGATGCAGATGGAGAGGTTAGTTCTGTCCCGTGGTAGTTTTGTCTGAGTGCTAAAAGTCCAGGGTTTGATTTCCAGGAAGAAGTAACAGAGTAATTTGTGTCTCTGTCAGTTACTTTAAATGAATCTCAATTGTCCCATAATTTCTGTATCTGCATAGCTGGTATAACTGCCCCCAACATAACACACCAGCTTTGCAGGCACGCGGCACCACTGCAACTTACCTGTACTCCTGTATCACACCAAAAGACTCACACATAGCCTTTAACTCTGAACATTGTTTAAAGCTATTTAGTGATGGTGCCTCTATTGTGCTTCGTGGCAATGAGGAGAAAACAAGTTTTTAATCGTCAACTTCCTTTTCATGTTCTTTCCTCAGGGAGTTTGTGGAACTGAACAACAAAGTAGACATGGGGATGAAACCAGCGTCAGGCCTACGACCTCCCAAGGTCAAAGACAAGGACACGGTAACTGCTGGCGAGCCCAGGCCGCTACCCAATGAGAAGACTCGTCTCCTGAGCACGCGGGAACTGCGGGAGGCGGAGAGGACCGCCACGGTACGACCCGTCAGCGAAGGACTGAACGCTGTCCCGACCACGCCGCAGGAAAAGTCTGACTGTAAGAAGAAGCTGACACCGCAGGAGCTGCACCAAGTAGTCATTGGTAGGTCAAGGGTCAAGGTCATGAATGATTTTGACAGCATGTCGGCATAACGTACTTGTCTTATGCAAAAGTGAAACCCAGATTTTTCACGGTTATTTGATGTTTGGTCAAAGTTGCATCAGAATTCTGCAGATGATATTTTTGCTCACACAACATTTGAAAACTATAAACGAATTGTCATCCTGAAGTGCGCAAATGCGACCTTACATGATACGTTCTGCTGAAGTGCTATGCAGAATACAGTAAGGGTTTTGCACAGGCACAGTACATTCTTCCGACGTGCTGCTTTTGACAGTCTTTGATGACAGACATTCTAAATGTTGTTAGTATTGACATACAACAATGTTTTTCTGTGTACTGATGTTAGAACTTGTTTTTCAGGACCCCCCACCATAGAGTTTGGGGAGGTGTGCCTACGTTCCACCAGTGTGAAGGAACTGAACATCATGAACAACCTGAACCAATACATCAGGGTCGTGGTGGATGTAAGTAGTATATGTTCACTAGTACAGGTGATTTAATTGAGGAGGATATTGATGCTTTGGCTATTCATATCATTATCTAAGGCTATGTCAGAGAGATATTTCTAAGTGTAGGGCCTCTCTTGAGTACTTATTTTGTAAAAAATGCTGACTGTTTTTTTTTTACGATTTGTTGACCACAGATTGACTGTACAGAGTTGCGACAGACCAGCCCCCTGTCCCAGGTGGTCCCACCCTGTGCCAAGGCTCAGCTGCCTCTGATCTTTGAATCCCACCACAAGGGCAGGTTCCAAAGGTGAGTACTTTTAGGACTTTTAACAAAAATCTATGTACTGACCAAAAATGGTTCAAACAAGCAAACAAAATAGATTAATTTCTTTGCAGTAATTTTGCCATAGAAGGAAAAGGTTTTTTTGCGATTGAAAAAATTCTGTAGTACACTGTAGTAACTCATTGGAAACATGTATTTGCAGTGTCCTAAATTTGCGGTCAAGAGGTCACTGAAAAATATACAAAGATAAAACCACCACATTTCAAGGTCTACAGTATATACCCATCTGAAAGTAGGACAAGTAGTTCCATCTTTAGGGGAAAGAAAAATAACAATTTGTTATATTATCTCTGGTATAGGTCAGTGATGTACACAGTGAATGGACACCACACCCACCATGTACTAGTGATGGCAGAGGTTGTCCCTGTTGCTCTAGAGTTGTCCACTCAGGAGCTGACCGTCAAACCCTTCCCTGGGATGCCTGCCGATGCTGGTAAGTCTAAGGCTGTGAGGGATGTGATGTGTTGATAAATGAACAGAAAATTGAGGGGAAAATGATTGCCAGCAAATGCAGAATGATTTCCTTGTCATCTTTTCCAACATTTAGAATATGTTCGTGGTGGGTATTGGCCACCATTTGGTAAGAAAAGGGTCAGAAAAGAGTAAACAAATGGCTGGAAAAAAGTAGCAATGTCTGTGTGGCTTTATTGCCTTTACACAAATGTATAAGAACATGATGAACATAATATTGTAAATTGGTGTTCTCTTCATTTGCTATCAGCATTCTATAAATGCAAATTTGTGGTCATGTAGCAGGGTGCTAAATGTTAATGTTGTACATGTGTATGTGCAGGTCTGAGGGGAACTGTTACTCTACACAACAGGAGGAACTACCCTGCTGAGTTCCAGTGGCATCCCATCCTGGGAGAGAGGGGCATGGCTTTCTCCATCAGGCCTGCTTCAGGTGAGACTAGAGCTGCTACGCAGTGATCTGGCTGATTCTGCTTGTGGGTTACAAAGTTGGGGGTTTGAATCCCTGCTAAATTCTCAAGAAGAGAAGAAGTACAGCACAGTACAGCTTCTATCCCTGGTAATGGACCGGAAGTACAGAATCCCTTCATTCCCACACGTTCAATGTATAGGGTGTTGCTGATCTCCATCTCTATTAGAGCCCTTGGCCACCCAGTTGTGCAGGTATAGTTGCAGGAGGCTAATCCACCTGGTTTGTGTATCTGTTTGTCTGGACAGTAGGTTGACAACACATGGGTGTGGGAGGATTGACAGGCAGAATGACAGGAACTTATAGGTCTCAAAAACCTGGCCAGGAGCCTGCAGGAAATTCAGGAATTCATAGATTGGAAGACTGAAATCTCCTATTCCTTGCTCTCCTAAGTGCTGAATGCTTTGCAGAGAAATACATCAGAAGTGGACCTTTCTGCAATGCAGCAGTTTGCCAGTTTTGTAGTTCAGATTCTCATACAAAGTACATCACAGCAACACTTGATGGATCCAAACTGTTAAGTGGCTCAGCATGTGTTGTTTGCTTTTGCAGGAACTGTTGATGCCTTTAAAGACCTGGCGTGTGAGGTGGTGTTCCACCCCTCGTACCTGGCACCAGAGGAGGGAGAGTTCAATCTGCTGGTCAACGGGGGTGGAACGGAACATCTCAAGTGTTCTGCAAAGGTGAGGAATTTACCAAGGGGATAGATGAACAAGTTTGTATTGAAAAACAAAGCAGCCTAACCTCATAACCAATACAAATTCGCTGTCACATGGCTACCTTAGGAGGCCGAAGGTTAAATGTCGTATTTGTATTTTATTCAGAGGAAGAAGTCAAATGCAACCTACACTGATATCCTTTTGGTTTTGTCTGAATTTTACGTACTACTACTGTATAGTTTGAATATCATTCTATAACCAATCAAAATGTGACAGGTACTTTTAAAAGTTTGCTAAAAGCACCTGTTCATGGTTACAGTTGGGTCAGACTGCAGTCCAGTTTGTGGAGCGGCGGATCTTGTTTGGCTCTGTACCCATCAACATGACGACAACTCGCACAGCCTTGTTACACAACACCAGTCAGCACCATGCTTACTTCCAGGTGAGAGATTGTCTGTTATTATCATGATTGACACCAACTGTTCCATTTGTAGCAAATGGGAGAAGAGCAGATCTGAAGCCTTTTATTCCCTCCCATCTTTATCTTATTTGTGTGTTTATTTGTTCACATTTGTTTGTCTTTTTCATGATAGTTCACTCAGTGTCAGAGAACAGCATGCAGCGACTGTGGTTCAAAACCATTATTGATTCCGTGCGTTTTATTTGCAGGTCGTTGACCCAAACCCCTTCCCTGGGCTAACTGTGTCTCCCATCCATGGAGCAGTGCCTGTAGGGGGATATGCTGAACTGAAGGTTGGTGTTTATATACAATTTTACAACATGCAAACATCACACAGTTTTTAAATGCGATATCATATTGGACAAGGTTTTCACTTCAAACACCATCAAATATCTAAGCCCTTACCTGTATATGACTAGAGAAAGCAGTCTGAGATGGAAAAATTTGACCAAAGCTGCATTTTTATTTTGTCAGATTGAGCTGACTCCAAACGCAGTGATAAAGTTTGACACGAGGATCCAGGTTGCGATACGCGGCTGGAAGACCGTGGAGCTGAGAATGGGAGGCAAGGTGGATCCACCGTGTGTCGACATTGATATGGTAAGAACAAAAAACTTATGGAAGGTTGATGTTGCAGTGTTTTCTACCAGGTTGTGGGTTTCCCAAACCTTAATTTAGAGTTTCCGTAACCCTAATGCAGGGTTTTCTTTACCCTAACTTAGGGTTTCCAGAACCCTTATTTTAGGTATGCCTAACTTAGTGGTTTGTTTTGGACATAAGGAAAACCACATCCTAAACAGTTAAAAGAAATCACCATATTTCTTGCAAAAGAATAGAGTATGTCATAGCTACAGCTAGACAATGTTCACCACAAAACAAGTTCACTTGCTAGACATGGTCGGTAACTTTTTGTCTGTGTTGAATTTTTTATTCTTGCAGAAAGAGTTTAAGTTGGGAGGAGTGTTCTGTGGTTCCCAGTTCACTATCCCATTTGTGCTGGGGAACCTGACCAGAACCAAGACTAAGGCAGAGTTCGACCTGACCAGATACATGGACTTCAGGATCAACTTCCTCAAGCAAGACTTGGAGAGTAAGTTTTGTTAAGAAACTGTGTTAGATTTTCAATCACAAATTCATTGTACATAGAACTTGAATTACACATAGTACTTGAATTACGCATAATATTTGAATTACACATAGTACATAGTGCTTGAATTACACTCACACTGAACTTGGAAAATGATTCTTTAAAGTAGATGCCATTTCCTTGTAGTTCCATGTGACTTAAAGTAGGCTTACTTGTTATAGATGCCCCATAGATTTATACATATTTTATTCAGTAGATGAGTCACATCTATTAGATAACTATTAAACAACATTGACATTCAAGATCTGTGTAGAAAAATGCTTGCATCTCTCCAATTTTATGTCTGACCAACAATATTGCTGTTTTATTACATTGCTGGTTTGAGTCCTGACAGTCCCATGTTCCCACCCTCCCTGTGCAGTTGACCCGATCGATCCCTTGACCCCGGGGATGTACCGTTACATGCTGGAGGGGGAGGAGATCGTGCCATGTGAGCTTGTGTTCAGCCCTACAGAGGTAAGATTTCTTTGTTTGTTTATTTTTTTATTTAAATTTACCACGGAGTATATATGCAAAATTGAAGGGGAGACAGAATAGGTTAAAAAAAAAAAAAATTACCATGTGGTTTCCAAGTGGTTTCCATCAGTGACTTAAAGGACTAATTCGAAGGACAATTCAAATTTACGGGCACCTCTAACCATCTTCCTGAGTTATTTGTATTATGTGCAGTGCTACAGTCTGAAATATTGGGTCATTCATCTTGAAAACTTTAAAGATTTTCAAGGTAGTTTTCCAGATTTTAAAATAAACATGAATATATGATTGATAGATGAAACTTTCTCTCACACAGGTCGCCTCGTATGACTTCCTAATGCCAGTGCACATTAATGCCATGGACGCCCCAAGCCCCACCCCCAGCTCGTTCCCCCCCACCCCAGCCCCCTCCGTTCAGCACATCATCCCCCCACGCATCATCGAGGTGTCCATAGCGACCCCTCGGAGACGTATCATGGCAACAGCCCTGAGGCAGCCGCTCCAGGTGTCCAACCTGCACCTGGAGTTCTACCTGCCACCTGGCTTCATGGAGCTGGGCATCGCTTCTGACGTGGGACAGAGAGGGGTGAGTGGACAACACTTGGATGATGTTAACCATTAGACAACTACATAAACATGTGCCTGGGAGCACTGGTAGCATCTTTGTCATTACTAAAACATACTGATTTTTCTTTAGACTAATGCATGAACAGCTTACATTGTACAATGTGTTATATTATAATCATTAACTGATTTGATACATTTTTAATGCTACTCCTGTGAAGAAATCTTCTATTTTACTCTGCATCTTTGCTTACATCTTTAGTTAGATCTTTATATGCTAAGTGCTAACTTGTCTGGCTACTGTTATGAAGAAATTGCATCACTAACTAATAATTACTCTAATTGTGTGTTTTGCTTTTTGACTTTGCGTGTGCCCCCTGCATCCCTCCCTGCTTGCTCCAGTCCGACAGTGCAGCTTCCCCAGACAAGAAACACATAGAGCAGGTCAGAAGGGTTTCAGACAGGTGTAGGGACAGAAATGGTGGATGACTGTAGACTAGGACAATGAAAGTAGATGTAGTACATTTGCTGCATTTCTAGTATGTAGTCAACTATCAGGTGCAAGTATTGGACTTAGGTTAAACTGCAAGGTGCTATTTTTTACTGCCTAAATAGATGCTATAGGAATCAAAGTTACAGTTTTTCTAATCACATTTTTCCTCCTCTTTTGTTCCCTTTAGTACACAATCCTTGTGAACAACAGCTCCTCCCCTATCACGTGGGGGCTGGATCTGGAAGCCTGTAAGTCCGAGGCCCTGGAAGAGGGGACCTTCAAGTTCCTGGGGCCGGGCGGAGTGCCCTTTGTGAACTACCGGGAGAAAGGGATAGAGGGCACTCTTCAGCCTGGAGAGACATACGAGCTGGGAGTCCTCTTCTGTCCAAGTAAGAAAAATAACATATTTATGTTTACCGAAGTAAAACATATTGTTTTTGCTACATTTCCTCTTCTTCTTCCATTCCAAAGACTGACCTTTGACCTGGTCATTGACCTGATTTATTGACGTCTCTCACCATGGTAACTGGTGTTGGGTTACATAATGTTGCAATTTTATGGTAGGAGGGATTTATACTCCTGTCTGACCATATATATATGAATGTTTATTTAATTTATTTCTTGCAAAGGGGGTGAAGCATTATATTGCTTTGGGCTTGTCTTTGTATGTGTGTGTATCTGTGTTGCCAATGAAGACTTTCATCTTAGTTGCGTAAATACAAAATCTGTGCCCATACTACATCTTTCTCCTTTACTCTTTCCCCCAGACTGCCCTGGCCAGTTCTATGCCAAGGTTCCCATCATTCTGAATGGCAAACGGGAGCTCCCGTACCAGTACCTGCAGCTCAGGGGTAACATGAGGTCACCCCGAGTGACCTTCGACCCCCTGCAGGTGGTACTGATGCCGGTGCCCCTGGCTACGGAGGTGTCAGCTGAGTTCAGCATTGTCGCATCGGCCTACACAAAGTGAGTTGATACAGTGCTGAACATGTGCTTGGAGTATTGAAATTAACAGTAACTGTTCTATTTAGTTGAAAATGTTTATAGTTGACCATCAAAGCCTGTAATAAAACAAAACAAAACGAAGATTGCAAAATAAAGGTTTCTCCTAGAGCTGTCTTTAGCCAAAATATGCACAATTTGCAACTAAGTCGAACAGTTGCGAAATCTTGCCATTTTCTGCAAAACATTTTAACAGAAAGTGCATTGTACTTACCTTCAAAGTTGGTTTGATATATTATGCATAAGAAAATTGTAAGGCATTGTATCATTTTCCGAGCTACTATACTATGGTGTCATTTTACAGACTTACAATGACAAACTAACCTTGTATAATCATCCCAATCTAGGCCCTCCTCTATCAAGGTGGAAATCCCAGACATTGAGTTGGACGATGGGAGCGTGGCGTCCGTGCTGAAGGTGGACTTCCCCAAGGGACAGAACATCCAGCCGTGCTCGCAGGACGCGGGGCAGGAGGAGCCGTTCGTCTTCCCGTGTGTCGTCACGTTCTCCTCCCCACGGCCCGTCTCCTTCAGCCAGCCTATCACGTTTGTGGACGATGAGGGGAGAAGGTGAGTTAGTTCCTGCCTTTTTTTCATGAAACATGCAAAATACAAGGGCTCATTACTTCCTGGGATGGAAGTATTGTTTTGGGTGGCTGAGTTTCTGTGTTTGTCCAGAGTAGGTTGACAGCATATGGGCAGGCAAAGAATGAGAGGAGGTCAAGTGTCTTAGAATATGGCTGGGAGCCAGCAGGGGAAAGTCACATGGAAGCCAAGCATGATACTTCATAGAAGTCTGAAATCTCTAATGTCTTGTTATTTCAGTTATTTATGAGCCGGAACTTGGCTCTCTGCAGATATTACATGTGTACAAGGCCATTGCATGGTTAGAGCTGAAAGAGATCAGGCTTTCCATAAAACATACCAGAAAATAACAAATATGTTTCATCACCTTCCATAGCTTCACCTTCCACGTGAGTGCTACAGCAGACAACTGTGTACTGAGTAACTACCCGTTCCTCGCCAAGCACCGCACAGACCACCACATCATCCGCAATGAGGAGGAGACAAGGGTAAGTCTGCTGGCTGGGGACATAGATTCAACAACAATGATGAATTCAGCACTAGGGACAGATACCAACTACTACAGTTATTTACTGTAACAGTCACATGTTTTGCTAAGCACATATTGCTAAATCTTTTGAGTAAGGAAGCCATAATAGATATGTCCAGTTTTGGAAAGTTTTTTAATTATTGATAATAGATCCAATTGATAATCAATCAATGACTCTAATTTTGCACGTCATAAAGGGAAAGTAGACTTTTTTTTCAATTTCTTGAAGCAGTTATCAGACTCAGTCTTAACTATAGTTGGAGTTGAAAAGGGCTTTTGGGAATGATTTGTCACCCATCTTGTTTACTCACACCCTTATCGTATCACTCACTGTATATCACAAAATTTTGTACTATTCAAGTACAGTATTGTTGTATTCATCATGTATGAAGTCTTAAACAGTCTAAATCCATTTGTTGATGTTCCTGTAGGAGATAGTAGTGCGTGAGGGGACGGGTGCTCTGGGTGAGGCTGTGATCATCCCGACAGCCTCCCCACGCCGCCCCTCTACCCGCGGCAGCACCACGGGCACCAGCACCGCGTTTGGCATGAGCAGCTCCAGCTACGAGGAAACATCCAACAGTGTAACAGGTAGGTATTTGTGGAATTAATTTGCTATAAAAGTGGGGCACTATATTACTGTTCACACGTATTCTTCATAACATAACAAGTGTCTCTCATATATTCTGTCCAGTCATTACTTGTAAGTATGGAAGTATTGTTTTGAGTGGCTGTGCCATGGGTTTGTGTATCTGGGGAGGTCAAAAGGTCAGACACAGGAAATGGGATGAACTTGAGAGTAGATTGACGGGCAGATTAATGGGGTTAAAAGATAACAAACAGAAAATGGGGTTAACTTGAGGGGCATAAAACCGCAAAATACTTCTATGTTTGAATCTCTGATTTCTTGTTTTAAATTTGAATTTGTAACTGCCGCCCACAGGTGACACCTATCCCAGCAGCCCTCGGGAGGGTGCTGTTCCACAGCTGCCAGCCGCAGACTCGGAGATCCAACAGGAGCGACAGGAGGCGGCGTCACGCTCGCTGGGGTCCGCGGCGTTTCCCGAGGAGGACTCTGAGGAAGGGATCTTCCACGCGGAGGTTTCGCTGTCAGCCCAGCGTTGGTTCTCCATGCACGGCTGGCCTGGTGGACCTTTCCCCATCAGTATACCACAGTCCCTCAGGAAGTAAGTTCAACTTACTAACAAACCTGGTCATTACTTTACTTCTGTCTCAGTAACAATACCTTTTACAATGTAATATTATACAAATGCTTGCTAACATCTCACAATGCTGTACTAAATACCTGGATCCTTTGTATCTCTCTTCTTCTGCTCCAAAGGAAGGGACAGGCATTTAAAAGGTATCTTTTTCCTCTTTGGGTGTTATTCAATGTACATCCAGATACTTCTGAAACCCAAGTGTACCTTATTTCTGAAATATTTAGGGGATTTCTTCCTATTCTAAGATATTCTTCAATTTTCTGAAATTCTTATATATGAATGGTTTATTTCAAGACTGTTGCAAACAAAACAGCCAGAATGGCTGAATTATGTTCTGACATATCAGCAATTCATTAAGAGACATATTCACATGGCTTTTTCTGCCAAGGTTGCAGACTACTTTGAGCTGACTACTTTGGAATCAAAAGTGCTAAAGACTTGAAACTTGTGTTAACTTTGCTCCCATGACTGTAGATGACATGCTGTGTGATAGTGTTAACCACTTCTACCTTGTACCAGAGGTGTGAGCAGGATGCACACAGATCCAGATGAGCGCAGCAAAGTCACGTCCCGCGGCGGTAGCTGGGACGCCTCCAGTCTGAAGAAGGAGATAAAGACAGTGTATGACATGATCACACACCTGAGCGGCCGGCCGGTCCCAGGGATCCCCATTAACCAACCACTGCCTGTGGACCCTACCGAGCGGGTTCTGCAGCTACACTGGCAACATGCCACACTCCTCACCTTCATCAAGTAAATAAGTCTTTCCTTATGTTAGTGTAGAAATTAAAAACCTTAGTCAGTAAATCTTATCTGCCACCTGAAAAATATGTGTCTAAGGAGGTCTTTCATTGTAACATTCTCCAGTATAATGCATTCCTTCAAATAGTGCATAACTGGAGGGTGCTGCATTAGAAATCTCAAATCCCTGCAAAAAATGAGTTACTTTACAGTAGTAGTAGCTGTCAATAACAGTATATACATGTAGTAGATTTGATTAATTCCTCAAGCTGACCAACAACTAGTCATAGTCATCCCTCAGTAAGACAGCTGTAGCTGCATAGTACCTGTGAATTAAAGTTCTAACTGGGAACTCTGCGGCTCCAGATGTCTTACTGAGGGATAACTGTGGTGTGATAGATGTTGCTTACATGTAGCTTGGGGAATGAATAGACTCTACACATATAGTAGCTGTCAGTGACAGTCTGAACATGACTGACTTCCAGGAGCCAGGGTGGCTGTGTGGCGTCCATCCGTCCTGAGTACCTGATGGAGCCTGAGGACTTCCGCTGGTGGGTGAAGGTCCAGGCCAGGAACAGGCAGAAGGAGGAGAGGAGGAGCAGGGAGATGGCTGCTGCTGCAGGGGTAGAACCTGAGGTAAGGGGAAAAATTCATGATATACAAGCCGGTACAATTGCCCACCCCTACATAAGGACCTCCTGGCCATTGAAATACTGTCAAATCTGTACAAGTGACCACCTCTACATAAGGACCACTTTGTGGTGGTGCGTTTGATAATTTTTCCCCATTGACACAAGCATTAAGAATTCTGTCTATAGTGATCAACAGTCCACATACATTTAGACCAGATTTTCTTATAATCTAAAAGTGGTTACAAATTCACCTCAAAACTTTGTTAGATGATTGTACCACAGGATGGGTGCTCAATCTATCATTTTGTCTGTTGTACAGTTGACATTTGAGGAGGAAGCAGAGAGGCGTGAGTTGGAGGAGGTTCTGTTCGAGTCGGTGTCCAAGAAAGCCTGGAGTGACGTGCTGCTACAACTGCTCAAGGTCAGGGAAGGTCATTTGTAACTGACACCATTTCAAACATTTAGACTGTCACTAACTTTGCTATTTTTACGTCTTGTTTGGTTTTCTAGTACTTCTAGTACACATTTCTAGTATTCTCAAAGACACTTTCCCAGGTTAATGTAACCTCTGACCTTGCTCCCTATGTGATCTCCTTCCCAGGTTCTCGTGCTGTCCAGAATCACCCCCAGGCAGTTCAAGAACATCCCCCTCCCCATCAAGGACATCCCCCTCCCCACGGTGAACCCTGACCCCCTGGCCAGTAACATTTACAGTGTGGGGGAGAGAATCCTCCTGGCCTGGCTCAACCACTACTATGAACACATGCGGCACAAGGTCTGGGCAGACTGTGACAAGGGTAAGAATGTCTTTTCTGATAATTTGTAAAAGCTAGTGTGTGATAAGTGCTAAATTTGACACAGCAGCTTAGAGTTTCTTTACTATATAGTTGTTTGGGTTACTTGACCAATACTTGGTTGCTCATTTGTATGGTATTATTGTTAAAAAGAGTAATCAATATTTTGCACTGAAGATTTGTTCTAGAGGCACATTTTGGGCTCAAATACAAAATCTGTATTCAGAAAAAAATTTTGACACTTCAATAAGTAATCTGACTTGGAATACACTTTTAACCATCATTCTTTCTTGGTTCAAGGAAAAGCGTAAGTATGGCAACCTTGTCGTAAGTTGAAGGTCCTTTTGTTCCCACCAGGTGGCGTTCCCCCGTCCCGCTGGGTGGTGAACTTTGACTTTGACCTGCTGGACGGACTGGTCCTAGGAGCCGTGCTGGCCGCACATGTTCCCTTCCTGGTATGAACTTCAACTTTGGCTTGTTCATCTCATCTTTAATGACACTGTGCAGATTTATGAACCATGATAAACTTTGAGTGCCCTTAGATAGATTCATTGCTGGACTTGCAGTGCATGCTTATATACAAGTATCATACAAAAAAAGTAAACTTCTCTGTCAGTAAACTTTTAAACTTATTTCTATAGGCAATTATAATTCAGCTTAGCATTGAATTTAACATGTAAAACACAGTAGCTTTTTAGGCAAATATGTCAATATGAATTGGTTCAGTGTTCTAGCTAGCCTGATATATTTATTCTGTCATCTCAATTTTGTCTGATGGAACATTATGTCATGTTTTATTTTATTTTCAGATTAAGACCCATCTGAACAGTATGTACACCCACCCATCCACTCCAGAGCAGTGTCTGCACAACGCACTCAAAATCACCAGCGCCTTCAAAACCATAGGGCTGGACTATGACATACAGGTGGGAAAGTTCAACACGTTTCATCTGTGTTTCGTGTCATTTTTCTTGCTGTAAACTGAATGTCAGTAGCAAGTTTGTGCTTGGGCACATTCAGTATAGTTTGCCCATATCAAATTGGGCAAATACCATATTATATACCATATCATATGAAAATTTCAGGAAACATTTTTGTTCTAAAGAAAAAGTGCCAAAATTTATCACAGTATACAAAAATTCAATTCACATGACATATAGCTAAATGCCAGATTTCTATCTAAGATATCTTAAGATTTAACAATTTAATTGTATGTTACCATGTATGAAGATCACAGGAACGTGTGTCTTTTTGCAGGCTATTGACATCACCGACCCCAACCCTGTGGCTATGTTGCTCCTATGTGTCCACTTGTACCAACGGCTACCACACTACCTACCTAAGGCTACTGTGGAGTTTGTGGGATCTCTACATGCCACCGTGCAGAAAGAGGTGGGAATGGTCCTGATACAAAGTGTTTTTAACCTGTTAAAGTGCTGTAGTGACATTTCAGCACCAAGGACAGGGACAATTTTACATCACCTTTTTCACTGATACTGTATCAGTGATTGTGATAGCTAATATTGCATTACAGTTGAGGTCTGTACACTTTGAATTTTATTTTTTTATGAATATTTACTTGCTAGCTCATAAACAGGACTTTTTGAAAAATTAGTGAAAAATTAGTATGATACCACATGTTTTTGTTCTAAAAACATGAACTGTAGACTTGTTATTCTGTGTTAGCTAACTGACAGCCTTTGATAAAAATTGATAAAAGCCCTCTTGAACATTTACCTTTAACATTTGCTACCGGGATTCTGTGACAGACTTTTAGTCAATGTTGAAAAGATAAGGAACTGTTTTGTTTTATTGTTTCAGGTGCGTTTAACCAACCCCAGCTCCAAGCCTTTGATCTACCACCCGATGATCGCCGGACGGGACGCCCGGGACTTCCTCATCCCCAAGGCGGAGGCGATCGCCGTCCCACCACGCGGGAGTCACAACCTGCCCGTGGAGTTCACCAGCCGACTGCTGCGGCCTGCGGAGGCCGTGCTGGTGCTGGTAGGGCGCAGGGCGGGTGCGGCCGTCGGTTCTACTCTCGTGTTTAACCTCAGGACAATGGTGGACAACATCACTCCTAAGGTAACAGGTTTTTTTGCGGCATTAGCAAACACAGCTTTATTCAACAATATACTGAATATTGAACAGGGACATGTAACAGGGATGGCATGTTGGAATATGTCCAGGCCTCCATTGTTTGCTATGTTGCTTCTTTGCTTGCTTTCAGAAAAGGATGACTGTTTTTCTTTCATAGAATAAATCAAAGTGCATGAATGGGTCTAGCTTCCTTTTAATGGTACAATGTGGGCGTCTGAAAACATTTCTGCATTTACAGTTACTGTAACATCTCCAAGTGCTGCCTTGTATTGAGTCTAATTTGCTTGCCTGTTTTTGCTGCATGCAATTGTGTTGGCCTTGCTATAACCCTATCCCCACGCTGCATCACCTGCAGTCTTTCTCTGACAAACAGGGAAACATCAAGATCGAGTCCCCCTGCTACGAGCTCTACCGGTGCAAGCTGAATGTCACCAACCCGTTTGACGAGCCCGGAGACTTCCGTATCGTTCTGGTGGAGGCACGCGAGCCCTTCCCTTCACCCAAGGTCAAGAAGGCGGCTTCTCAGAAGAGCAGCTCCGCAAAATCAATGAAGAAGATCAAGTCCAAGATTGATCATGGGTGAGTAAAAATAGCATCTTATTTGTCAACTTGTGAATAATGGAATTTGTTCAAATCTGATAGCTAGTAGCTTTTTCAAAACACATGTTGTATAAAGCTAACATGTATCAAGTTGCCAAGAGCCATTTTATTGCATATCATCCTTGTTGAACGTTGAGAAATTCTGAATATTTTAAAAAAGAGATCTCAATTTTCCGTATTTACAAACTACTATGAAGACAGCAGTTCGGAATGTGCTCTGAAAACATGTCCCTCTTTTCCATTGCTTTCCCTATCAAAGAGGAGGACAGCGTACACAAAGGTATTTTCATAGGACATTGATGGACGTGTTGGTGTAGAATAGTTTGTCATAATTTCCGTGTCATACACATCAGAAATTAATATTTCACAGTAATCTGTAGCAAGTACATTCTAGCATGTCATTGGTTACAGATGTCAAACCTGTGGAAATTAGACTAAGTGCATCATAACATTAGCATTTCTATTGATGGGAATAGCTGATGATTTTCTTATGTTTTCTGTCACGTATCAATTTTCCATCATCTTTTTTTCCACAGCCAGAAGAAAGTGGATTCTCCTTCTCCTCCCCCTAATGATGAGAAAATTGAGATCACTGCAGCGGTTGAGAAATGTAAGTTTTATTCTTACACATTATATCTAAATACATATCAAGTCACATAGTTGGTAATAAAAATGCCTATCATATCATCTTGGCATCAAAATATGGGATGTGTCTTCTATATTTTTTTAACGACTTGTTTATTCCATTTTTCTGCAGCCACCACAGACAACACAGCCTTTGGGTCATTCTTCAGTCCGAAGGCGTCTGTTCACCTGGACGGGCGCGGCTCAGCAGAGGTGGAGATTGAGTTCCTCCCGTTCCAGACCGGCCATCGCCAGTGTTCCGTCCTCTTCATTAACGAGGAGGTGGGAGAGTTCCTGTACTCCATTGAGGCGTCGGCAGTACTGCCGCTGCCGTCTGTGTTACCCTGGGTCCCCAGTCCACACAGTGTCAGGATCAGCAGTGCAGCTGCTGCAGGTATGTTAGCTGTGTGTTGGAATTAAATGTTATCTTCAAAAGGTCTCACTGAAAAACACACTTCTTGTTTATTGTGTCGCTAAAGATCCTGATTACAGGACTGGTGTGTATGTTTTTATTAAGGCTTAGCAGTCTTCCCTTGTAGAATTCCTTTGTATCATTTTATCTACTTAAATAAGAAAGCTTGTTGAAAAGAAAGAGAATGACAAAGAACTTGACCTGAAGAATAAACAACCGCATAAACAAATTATTGCATGCTTTCTGACCAGGACTTTTCTGCTATTCCTACATACAATTATTTCTTGATAGATGGCAAGATTTCATCAATTTGGTAGATTTCCACTTCTCTGCAACTTGTCCAATCATCTGCCCCATGAAACAGGCTGCAGACTCCTTCCCAAGAGATGCAGTGCTCCTCTTCCAGGTCACATGATCATGTTTCTGTTGTTCCTGTGGCAACTGTTGTTGCTATCAAAGTTTACCCCAGTACTCTTCAATTATTTCAAAGTGTTTTTCATAGAGTTCATACAAAAACTGTACCTTAACTGTGCCTATTTTTTTTAATTCTTTGATTTCTTTTTCAGTATTTTCAGCCACTGTTTCCACAAGATGTTGAACTTGGAGTTACAAATTTTCTGTTAGTCAATTTGAAATCTCATCTAAAAAGTTTTTATGGCACATATTAGTTAAACATTGAGCAGCACAACTGTTGAATTCAAAGTTGGCTGTCGTTAAGTTCTGTATGTCTGAAGTCTGTGATTCCTTGTTCCCTAGGTAAGGGACGGGGTCTGTTTGGAGGAGACGACCGTGTGATCTACTGGAAGTGTGAGAATAACTCCGTCCTGAAGGAGAACCTGGTCATCCCCATCACCAACGCCGCCCGGGAACGCTCGCTGGTCATCGCTGCACAGCAGAGGATGTCTGAGTACGAGCGCGAGAGGAGAAAGGTGAGAGACTGGATCTTATTAATTCCTAATTGTAAGTACTGTATCTACTTCTGGGAATGTATTGTTTTAAATGGCTGAGCTGTGGCTTTGTGTGTCTGTTGGCTGGACAGAGTAAGTTGACAGCATGTGGGTGAGGGAAGATTGACAGGCAGAATGACAGGTCAAAAGGTCAGACACAGGAAATGGCATGAACTTGTAGGTCATGAAAACCCCAAATACTATGTAAATGTTGCAATGGAAAAAATCAAATCTATACCTTTTTCAGTGTTTTGCTATGGAAAGTATCTGTTCAGAATCAGAATTGGGTTTGCCAAAATATGAACAGTATGTAGGTATGTACAGTGTAGCATGGCTCTTGAATGAAAGTCTAACCTCAGTGTTGCTTTTGCATTTGTAGGTGGCTGGTACGTTGGCCAGTGGAACAGTGACAGCAGCCATAGCTGCGATGGGTCTGCATGACCGTGTGGTTGATCGTTCTCGCCACATCACCACATCACACATGCTCATCGCCCCTCCTGAAGGTAGGAATTATTTGGTTATTTGTCTATTTATTTTTTGTCATCATTTGTAGCAATAATCATAGCTGAGTATCTTCTTATTTGTTAATGTATTATTCATCTTTTTCAGGCACCACCTTTAACGTACAGGTCAGCTCTCCACTGTTTGACGCCCCTACCCAGGTGTTCGTCCCCTCACCCCTCAACAACCGGCCCAAACCAGCTTCAGAGGTGGCCAGGGAGGGACCCAGGATCGAGAGATCAGCTGCAGGGATTGTTGGAAACCAAGGTGAGAGACACTGTCGCCATTTTCCAAAGAAGCACATAAACCAGTAAAATAACCCCCTGCTGTAGTGCTTGCACAGCTGAGTGGTCCAAGGGCTATAGGAACATAGATGGGCACTGTCCTATATATATAACATAGCATTGGAAGGACTAGCCAAGCTTGATCACAATTAGTCAGCCCAACAGCAAGAGATTGCATAAATCTGGCTATGGGAATAACTAACACAAGAATCCTAAAGGCAGAAATGACATCTCTGAGACTCAAGTGTTTTCTTTAAAGCCTACTCCAGTATGATTCTAATCTTAGTTGGTATGTTTCTTCTGTAGGCGTGATTTTAGACGATGGAACCATCAACATCCCAATCAAGTTCCAGCCAAAGGGCGCTGGCCACTACCCCTGCCGTATCGTCCTCTTCGCTCCAAACGACGTGCGTGTTTTCCAACTGGAGGTTATCGTAAACCCAGACGGCAGCGCTGCTGAACTGGAGTTTGTCACACCTGCTCACCAGTCTGTGTCACAGGATATCCCCATTGTAAGTAAAAATGCTGTTAGTTTTTCAAATACTGACAGTAGTATGCTGTGGGGGTTTATGGAGAAGGCAGGGCTGTCTACTATGCCATACCACCAGACCAGGCTATCCTTTCTAGGGTATGCACGGGGTTTGGTCTGTAATGGAGTGTAGTAGTTAGTATAATCCCCTTCTGGATCACAATGCTGGGGGGGGGGGTAATTTTTGCCTTGAGATGAAGAAAGCTTCAATTGACTGAGGCTGGAAATATACCCCAATGTTAAAAATAGTTCTTTTCAGCTCCCAACACAATTTAAGCTTGCAACTGACCACAATAGACAGAAGTCTCACTACTATAAATTACATTGTATTTTTTAGTTATCAAAATACTGTACTCAGTTGCATACCTTTGAACTCTTTTCCAATATTTCTAACCCCTTCTGTTTATTTCTTTAGCACAACCCGACCCTCCATGACTGGGAGTTGAAGGCAGAGCTGGAGGGTGATGGGTTCTATGGACCCCCCCTGATGCTGGCCCGGGCACAGCAGACAACTCTTTACCCTCTCATGTTCAGGCCAGTCCTGGAGTGTTTGTCACTGGTGGGTAGCTTTGACTATAAGAGCTTCTGGATCAATAATTGTATTGCATTGTTGTTAGGAACATGTTTTATAGTGTTGGATGTGATTTCAAATTGTTAAAAATATTCTGGATTACTGTACAAGTCATGCAAAAGGAACAGAGAGACTCTCTTTTAACATACTGTAAATCCCCCCCCACACACACACACTAAAACTTTGTCTTAAGAATGATTTACATTTCTTGGTACCATTTCTAACTCTACTTCCTTTCTTACAGGGAAGGTTGTTGCTAAGGAACCATGAGGATGGTACAGAACACATCTTTAACCTGAAGGGACTGGGACAGAAGCCTCTGGCTCTGGACCACATAATTGTGCCATGCAGGGCCAGGGAAAAGTAAGTTGTTTCCTTGTCCTATCTGAGAGCAACCAGCATGGTTTCAGCACCAAGGACAGGGACATGGTGCCATGACTATCCTGTACTTGTTATGTTTGTCCTATTTGTAAGTAGATAAAAGTGGAGTGGAGAACTAAACTTTGAGCATGTTAAAGAACCCACCATGCATCTTGTTAGGACCCAGTCAAATTCATGATATGCTAGGCTAGCAACAGAAAATTGAATGCATTTTGGGAGCAGTTACAAATGTTCTGTATATTGTCTTTAAGCTGGCCACCTCACTATAATAACTACCTTTTTCCGTTTGCAAAAAATTTTAAAGCACATGCATTAAGTAACCTGACCAATAAGGTCACCTGTCCAAGAAGCTGGGTGGCCCTTTTAGGCAGGTTTGTCTGTAATCCAAATTCAGAGCTGACTTGAACTCCTAATATATTCTGTACACATGTGCTGTATTTCCAGGGTGACCAAAGTGGTGCAGGTTCCAAACGTGTCCAACAGGAAGCTGATCTACCAGGTGTCGTCCAGCCTGTCCTGTGTGTCGGGCGCTCCCACGGTTACCGTGTTGCCGGGGCAGACCACGCCCTACAGGGTGTCCATCTCCCCCTGGCAGAGGGGAGCCTTCAGCGGAGTCATCACCTTCGTGGCTGGAGATGCACAGAAACCCAGGTACGACAACTAATGATGCTCTTATTCCTTTTTTCTTGAGAATATTCTAACAATCAGTCACTCCTTTTTTTTCCTGAGAATATACTTCCCACCAGTCACTTTATGTTTCAAAGGTCATTGAAAAATTTCAAGGGCAATGCATTTTAGGAGCCTAACATTTCAGTATGCTGCAGTACCTAGAAGTACAGTGAAGAGCTGATAAAACTAGAAAGGCCGACATTTGCTTGGGAGCAAATACAGCATATTTCAGTCCATCTCCCTCCCACGCAAAAGTGGACTATTCCAAACTTACCCCAGTGCAAAACTGGCAAAGGTTCGCAAATAAATGAAGCTATGTAATTGAGAACAAAGATGCTAGAACAAGCACATTGAATCTCGAAAGCTTTACTAATCTTATTACAGGTATGCAAATACTAACAATGATGAGATTTGATACATTTTGAAGGTCTTAGGCACATAAAATTGAATGTGTGGGTCATTACGCACGACTTACATGCGATGTGACCCCAGGTAACCCCAATGGAACACATGTTCCATGGCCAACGGCAGATGGAACAGGCCATTCTTTAGATAGAATGTGGAACGGGTGCAGCACTTTTCGCCCTTTTTTGGCCTGAAATAGCCATTAAAGTCCCCCAAATGAGTCATTTGGAAGTGGTGTATGCCAAATATGTGACAGCTATTCTGTAGACACACGTTCAAGGTACCCTTATACCGAATTTCAGATCATTTGGTTGTAAAACCAGGGCTCAGGATCCAAAAATCCATTTTTTTGCCACAAATGCCCCAAAAAACCTTCATAAAAATTTTTCAAAGGCATGTATAAAAAAAATGAAAAAAACGCCTGGGGGTATTGGCCCACTCTACCTCCATGCCAAATTTCAAGTCATTTGGCTGAATGATGGCGGAGTTGAATCCCTTTGACTGTTTGGCAGGAGAAGGAGGAGAAGAAACATGAGAGAACACAATATATTTCATCCATACCATGGTATGGACTGAAATATAAATAGTGTACTTGGATTACAGATAATCTTAATATAAGTGTTTAATATGATTATATTTATCTCTTCCTCCAGGGAGGATGATTCCAGTAGTGATGAGGATGATGAGCTGCCCACTTCCCCAGTCACCCCCAGCTCTCGCCTGTCATCTTTTGAAGGAGATGGTAAGAATTGTCCCCATTACATATTCTAGTATACAGTATTGCATTAAGAAAATAGAGTAATATGTACTTGTCAAATACATGTCATATGACATATGTGTATTTTACCTGATTGTACAAACTTGTATATTACAGCAGATGGAGACTTCCCTGGTGGTTACCGGGTGTGGTACTCCCTAGAGATCCAGGCAAGCCCTCCTCAGCCTGAGAAACGTCTTCAGATCACCTGCTCAGCACAGGTAACACACCTGTTCAGCATCTGTTGTGTGATTTTAAACCTTTTTTGATACTAATTCTGATGTCTCCAAATACAAATGTATAATGAAAACTTCACTATTTTTACTGCAGTAACTGTAATATTAATAAAATAACGAAATAACGTTTGAGCTTCTGTCTTATTAAAGATTAGAGGATCTGCATATATAATACAACTCCTTTAACTGCTGTGATGTCTTGTTGAACTTTTTTTTGCTTCAATAATTGTGTGTGTTAATCATTCTAACAAACTTATAACATCTGTTGTCTTCCAAGCTGTTGGATTATGTGAGAGAAGGTGGCGTCTCAAAGGTAAACAAATCAACAAAAAGTACAAACTATGCACCATAGCCAGCCAGCACCTTGTCTTCTGCACTGCCTCTGCTACAGCATGTCACTATAGGCATATAGACTTGTCTAGCGGCCAGTGTACATGTATGGTTTAGGGTGTTATGATACAACTGTATGCATCACAGCACTTGCATGCATGCTTTAACTTGCACGGTGGCACACACAAATTCCTGGGTTAAAGGCTTAATCCTTTCAATCCCAACTACTGGTGTAAAGGTGTAGAGCACTATAGATGATTATTTTGCCGCACTCCTTTTCTTTTAAGTTTGCTACTGTCTCCTTTCCATATGATGGCAATCACTGAGTGAAGGTGAAGCGACCAAAATTGCATTTGTGTGACCCTTGACTTTGCAATAATTACCGGTATGGAATATGATGAAAAAGTATCATATAAAACTTAAAAGACTACACAACATACACGCTCAAAAAAATATTAGTTTTGTTCCTTGTCTGTGAAATTCATTGAGCAATCTAACAAATATTTGGTCAGCAATCGGTCACTTAGTTGTCACTGCCTTTAGTGGAAAGTGGTTGTAAGATATAGTGTGTACTCAAATAGGCAGTCAGTAATGTTTAGCTTAGCTCACAGCTTGTTACCCTTTTGTATCAAATTCATTCTCAAACTATAAAGGCAACATTTGCAAAGAAAATGCATAATGATGCATATGGTCTGCTCTGTTGATTCTTACTCAAACACATTCATATGTATGGTCAGACAGGATTCTAAATCCCTCCTGCTATAAAATTCAACATGGTGTAACCCAACACTAGTCACCATGGCAACAGACAGTCTGGTTCAGGTCATTGACCTTTTTGGTTGGAGAAGAAGAGGAAACCTAGCAAAAACAATATGTTTTCCTTCGGTAAACATAAATACATTGTAACAATCTTTTCCTCCCTTCTCCAGTCTGCTGCGATGATGGAAGTTCCCATCCAGAACCCCACAAACAAGGAGCTGACCCTGTCTGTCACGATCGAGGGGGCGGGGCTTAGCGGTGAGCCCAAGGTCACCCTGGCTCCCGGGGAGGAGAAGTGGTACCAGCTGCTGTTTGCTCCGACTGTAGTGGGGAAAACCAGAGGAAGGTTGGTCATGTTGTCTGTCAATCAAAAACAAGATGTAGAGAAAACAATGAGCCTCTTCAGTGATGCATAAAATCTGACATACTGACTACTTACTCATGTAGTTAGCATAAGGGTTTTGCCCAATCAGCAAACTTTCAGTACTGAAATGTGACTATCAGTAGCTGTTTAGTTACTGACCGACACATTTCAGTAACACGTCAGCATGATTTTATGACAAAATCTTTGTAATATGTATAGTAAATTTTCAGTTTCTATTAGGGATGAGATTTTTGGAAGTAAGAATTTCTTTAAGAATCTTCTAAACGATCATTTTGTGTACCTGGCAGCTTGATCTTCTATGGTGACACCGTGGGAGAGTTCTGGTATGACCTTGATCTAGTAGCAAACACACCTGCCCCGAAAGTCCTGCCACAGATGGAATGTGAACTTGGAAGGTAAGAAAATAATCCTCTTCACTTACTGTCTTGCTGAATGTAAACTTACCTACATAAACATCATAGAAATACAAAATTACTGTTAATGATTTCTTATAATTTCAACCTAGCAAGTGGGTATAGAAACTACTATGATCTAAATGCTACTGCCAATAGTACATGGATGAAATATACTTTCTATTTCTTAGTCTGTGTTTTCCTAATCCCCATCAGGTGGACTCGTCAGTTCATCCGTTTGTACAACCCGACAGATGAGCCCATTGAGCTGGAGCCACAGAACAGTAATCCTAACAACTTCACTCTGGAGGTGGACCCTGCCAAACCTGTAAGTCTCATGATCAACTTATCAGGAAGAACAAATGTTACCATCATTACAAAGACCCTCCTTTTTTCTGAGTAAGGCTATGGGATGTCCAAGAAAAAACAAAGCAAACAGCCATTACATATATGTGATGGTTGTCATTTAAAACTGCCTTTATGATAAAGCCGTTTTGTATCATGTCTTTGAATGAGTGGATGATATTTTTTGCTTTTTCTCCCACCAGGTTACTCTGCAGCCCAGGTCCAGTCTCATGGTGCCCCTGCAGTTCCTTCCATCGGCACTAGGGAGCGCTAATCACACAGCAGAGATCACCTTCTGCAGTGAACAGGTGGGCTTTTCCTTGGGATTTGTTCTTTTATGTCGTCACTATTTACAAATTCTTTGGACATTTGAAGGTCAATACTGTGAATTCCATGCACGAAGTCTTGTAACAGCCAGTTTGTGTATTGAGAAGCCTGCCTACAGGATACTTCTAGCAGCCCCTCCACTGGTCAGGCAAGTAGAAGCTAATGCATGGCCAACAGGAGAATTGGGAACATCTTAATCCTGTTGATTTATGCATATGTGCTAACATAGACCATTTATTCCATCCTCTAGCTTGGAGACTGGGTGTACCTGGCCTCAGGTACCGGTATCCTCCCCCAGCCCCTGGACCCTGTCTTGGTCAGTGCAGAGTTCCAGTCCAACACCTCCCTCATCATACCCTTCCGCAACCCGTTTGACGAACCTGTAATAGTGGACGTCATTCTGACAGGTACGCTTTGTGCTCCCATCCAATGAAAAAGCATCTTCCGTGAATAGTGTTATCGGGTTGGTAAGTCACTGAATAAAGAGACGCTTTTTGCACAACCAAGTGTTTTGTTCAGCTGAAGTTTTGGTGACCGTCTGTCACCTTCCTCAGGGCAATTCTGACTGGACTACAGCATAGGTGTTGCTGCTAATAGATGCATTCCCAAATGAAAACTTAATTTGCATATTTACAGGTAAACGATATCTATTATATGGTCCCAAACGTACAGGAGTGTAAAATATACACATGTACATATTGTACATGTTGTCATACAAAACGTTGAATAAAACACTTGGTTGCTTGAAAAAAGCCTCTTTATTCAGTGACTTGCCAACCTGATGAAACTATTCACGTAATCTTCTTTCTACACACACAGGCATTGTTTCAAAGTAGCCGCTTTGGTCTGATATGTTGCTAGTGAGAGGTAGAAGTCAATGCACAGCAATATTGTAGATGCTTTTGAATAATTTTTCTCTTCCCAACCCTGCATGCATCTGCCTGTACCTACAGACCTGTCAGGTACTCAGGACAAAGGTATGGATGGTGAAAAAAGATGTTCATACACAAATTTGGTGAAATTCACCTGGTTCTGTATTTTATATGCCACTGTTTCCCTATTGTGTAAAGCAATTTGTTAAATCTGAGATTTGAAACAGCAGTAATGCAGTTAGTGTTGTATACTGTTGAATCGGTTTTCTCTCACTGTGTCTGCTACATGTTATCTATTTTCAGGATATATTTCTTCTATTATTCTAACTGTAATGAATAGGAAGGATATTTTACATTTTAGGAAGAGCTCAGACCAGTTCAATCAAGATTCAAGATTATTTTGTTGGAGTTCCGCATGAATGTTGAACATTGTTGGTTCATATTGTTTTGAGATAAGGACTAGGTATTATTAACAATATTGAGTTTAACAGAGTCCCATGTCCACAAGGTTACATTCCATTAGTAATATATTCCCCCTGATGAAGGCTAAAAATCTTTTAAAGTAGATATTTTTTAGCTTTCACTAAAGTTAACTTTCTGATATTCGTCTTTTCTACAGACCAGAAACAGTTCCTCCACAAGATCAGTGAATCGGTCATCAAACAGTCCATCACGACAGAGTCCGCCTTCTGTCTCCTCCTCAAACACCCTCACAACATCCACCTGGCTCCCCGGGCGACCCTTGACCTGCCCCTGACCTTTGCCCCCAACCGTATGGAGCTGCACGAGGCGGTGTGCGTGGTGTCGGTGAGGAGGGAGGATGGACTGAGCTGGAAGTTTGCTGAACAGGGCATGAAACTCGAAACACTGGACGGGGAAAGTGGAGAAAGGTCAGAAACAAACTACTGTAAATTCATTAAGTTTTGTGGTAGTTTCAATTTGGGGTAGAAGGAAAAAGGAGGTTTTGCAGTGTCTTAAATTCTGTGGTACAGTTGTCACAAAAGGGAGACATTTTGCAGTGCCATGAATTTGCGGTGGAGAGCTCAATGTACAAATAAAACCACCATGGAAACTTTCAAGCTTCACATCAAAACAGATTTTAAAAGTCAGTAAACAAGCTTGTTGAAAAACTATTGAGAAATTGAGAGAATTTGTCCATTTTAGAGATAACACAGCAATCCAAATTTCTGATTTTCCCAGCAGAAGTGCGAGTAGGACCAGCAGTGGTGGCCTGCGGGACGTGCGCTGGATTTACCCCATTCACGGCGTCCCCGAGTCCCACCCTGTCAAGGACGCAGCCAGGGCCGCCACCGTGGAGTGTCAGGCCAGGAACAGGGTGGAGGAGAGGTTAGAGGTCACGCTGATGGGAGCGGCGCCCAGCTCGGCTGGCGGGTACCCCAACCCGATGAAGACCAGGGCCATAACTCCCATAGATGCACAACGACCGAGCACTGATGGAGTCATTGTTGGAGAAGGTACATATCTCTTGGTCTGACAATTTCATCTGCTTGGATGCATCCTTTTTCTCATATAATCCCTTACAAATTTTTTTGAAGAGTTGAGACCAAGTGCTGATGGTTGTTACTCATGGGATGATCACATTGGTCGTAGGTCATTGTATGATATTGATGTAGAACTTTTACGCAGGCTGGGACAGAATCAAGCACTGATAAGTACAGCTGACAGCCTATTCCATAACAAACGACCCAAGAATGCCCTCAGTTTATTATAACATAAAGATCGTACAACGAATGTGACCAGGCACTAAGTGTAATATAATCCAGTGTAGGCTTCCTTTCGCCTCAAGTTTGTCAACCACACCATACACATCTTACACCTTTTACAAACTAAACCGTCGCGTCTGTTTCCTAGGCAACACCGTGGCAGAGGAGTTCTCGTATGAGATAGAGTATGACTCGGAGGATGCCCAGAGCCTGCTGCAGCACTCCCTGGGTCTGAGTCTGGTCAGGAAACAGCGAGACAGGGTCAGCGGGGTCGTCATTCTGGTCTTCAACCTCATCTTCGCTCCTGCCAAGCCTCTCAGGTGAGAAAACATAGGGTTGAAAACTTTCATTGCTTTTCATTTTATTCCAGGGAGATGGTTAATATAACCAACAGGCCCTGTCCTTGGTGCTGGAGTGATTACCAACAGTCCCTGTCCTTGGTGTTGAATGGAAAACAGATAAACATTTTTGTTTGAATTTTAAAGACAGCTGAGGGTTGCTTTCATCCTTCCAATCATTGTCTTTGTTTCATGAATGGAAACATTTAACTCCATGCAGCAAAAAAAAAACATCACTAATGAAAGATAGCAAATGCTACTTTTTAGAGAATTGATCCAGATGCTTGATTTATTTTGCATTACATCAATTATGAGAGATTTTTGTGGTCTTATTTCTCAGACACAATGTGGAGTTACTGGTGAGGTCTGCCACTGGTGGAGTGTGGAGATTTCCCATCAGGCTGTGTGCCACCGAGCCCACCCCCGATGACATCATCACCATCGAATCTGTGGGTCTGAATAAGGAGTCTGCTGTCGCCTTCAGGCTGACCAGCCAACAGAGGTAAGGAGATGTTAAGTCATTATTAAAGGAAAGTAGAAGTCATGCAGCCTTAGTTACCACACCTAATAGCCTGGTCACTAAACCTATTTTAGCTGCCAAGCTTCTTTCATCTTTTTGCGGAGAGGGTGAAAGAGACTTGGCAGCTAAAGTAGGTGTTTTAACCAGGCTTTGTACGACAGTGTATTTACGGAGAGGATGAAAGACACTTGGTGGCTAAAAAAGGTTTGGTAACCAGGCTAGAAGTTATGTAAGTCATGATAAGATAGCTATTGCAACATATCTATCAACAATGTTTTAATAACATTTTTTCACATCATTTTTCCTGTCTAGCCATCCTGTGGCCTTCCATGCATACTTTGTTGCGGGAAGTGACCCAGAGTTCCAAGTGTATCCTCAGACAGGCGAGCTGCTGCCGCTGGGAACAAACGGCACCCAGATCAGCATCTCCTTCACTCCCTGCATCTATGGCAAACAGTACAACGCCAAACTGGTCATACAGGTAAATACATTGTACTGGGAAACTAGGGATAAAGTCAACTTCATTATTACTTATGGTTAATGCTAAGGCTTTTCATAGGATGATGGACACACCCTTGAGAGCACATGATAACACAAGTCAACAAAAACCTGCTATACAAACCTGCTAGCTCTATGTTTCAGGTAGTGTTGCAAACCATACATTCTGATAACTTGATTTACCAACGTTGCACCTCAGTTGCAACAGCATTTTTGTCTACAACATTGTTCTCTGTAATTCTATCAAATTTTGCATGGTTGAAAAGATGGTTAACTTTGAAATGATGTTAGGAAATCATAAAGTTCTACTAGTGGAGATCCTAATAAAACAAAGAAACAAACTACATTGTAGTATGCTTTTCTGAACTGAAAAGAAATTTCAGCTTTCATTTAGTAAACTTGTTTCTCTTCTAACCTCATCATTGTAATCTCTCCCCAGACCCATGACATGCAGTGGACCTACAACATCCGCGGGATGCCCCAGGTGTACAGACCCCCCGTGGGTCGCTCCTCCAGCCCCATCGCTGGCCCTCACCCCAAACCCACCCTCCACGGGCCCAAACGTAACTTCCTCAAGGAGAACATGCAGCTCATCACCACAGGAGTCTCCTCACCTATCAAAGGGACGTCCATCCTGCTGAAGTAGTTAGAACACACGGTCACCCCATCAAACTACAATACTGTGAATTCTGAAATGTTTGCAGTGGTTTTATTTTCGCAGTGACCTACTGCGAAATCAAAACGCTGTGTTATATTGTTCTATTATAGTACTAAAAAATTGTGTCAACTGTGAACTTCAAACACTGGGAAAACCTCCTTTTCTCTCCTACCACAAAGTAGAACCACTGTGAAGGTAAATGTCCTGGTTAAGTAATTATAGTGTAGAATGGAACTGGTAAAACCACTATGCTACAGTGAATATTGTTTCCATTCCATCCAAGTTTTACTAAATATCTGTTTGAAGACGTGAAATATGTCCGTCCATCATAAAGCAACGATGTGAACAATGATGAAATCTTTGAAGAAGTTTCAAATTTCAAGCTGCTACAGTCTATGGTATTGACTGGATACTAATATAGTATGATTGCTAGTTCTTATATGGTGATACCTTTTGGTGTTAAGTACAAAACATGTGCCTAAAGCTTGTATACTTTGTACATACAGTAGGTGGATATGTTTTCTTGTGACAGTGAAATACCCTCGGACAACTGCCAAAAATGACCAACTTGCTGCTGTGTACTTGATTATGGTTTAGCCACCAGTTATAAAAGACCTCCTGTCACAACTTCTCAACTTTCTTTGTAAGGAATTGTAGAGTTTCGTCAAGGGAAATGAATTCTTACTTGTTTCTTAAAGAAAGGGACAATGAATACTACAACACATCAGAATCAATTGCCAAACAAATCTTAAATGAAAATCAGAAAATGTAATTCTGTACATATATGCCTTGAATTTGCGATGTATTATTTTACTGGGATGGCACAAAAAAGAAAATGTGTGGCAAATAGATACAAGTTAAGGGTATAGAAATGGAATAGCTTGTATAGAACTGTGTATTTCGAGCGTTGGTATTACTATGCAGATAGAGATTGTTGTTCATTTAGCAGGAGAATTCTATGTTGTACATGTAAATGATCTTGATGTAGTACTTTAAGAAGGCTATGGTTTTTCTGTATATACCGTGTGTTGAATTCAGCACTTCTTGTGAATTGGACAACTCACTGTGCCTTATTTACACTCTTAATACATATGATTTTACTACCTACAAATGTAGAGATGTCTGGTGGTTTGGTGTTAACTGTATCCTTACTACTATTAGTTCATATTGTGTATGCATACCCAGTATTGAGGCTCTATATACATAACAGAAATCATTTGTCCCCTGGATCATAGGTCAGAAATAACACAGAACCATTTTCCATAGCCAAAAGTTCTTTAATGCAATAGTAGTCTTCTGTAGCTCAAAAAATGGCAAGCTTGGATTCTGTATTCCTTACATGTCTTTGCCAATTGTTCCTTTAAATCAATGTTTCATATGTCTTGCATCGATTCTGATCAGAAAACTGCTCCATATAGAAATTGGAAATTCAATTGAATCTGAGACCTTTGTTTGCAAAAGTAATTCACGACAGTAAGTCACAAAGATTGCAGCAAAAAGCATCACAATATTGTACCATTATTGCAAAACCAATTAATGCACTGTCACCGTCATGGTCACATCTTTTGCGAAGGCACTCAGGTGTTTCTGAGGGATGTCAAGATGACACACTGAAGAAGTCGGTGCAGGTCGGACTGAAGACACCCCCATTGTTGTACGTGTGCTCTCTAAACTTTTCAGTTTGTCTTTCAGAGTCAGCATGTGTCCAGGGTAGTACGTCTTAGAATTGTCTGTACTACTGTGGACGAAAGGAGCACTGCATATAAAGATGCTCCCATTGTGGACAGGTGTGTAGAGTGTCTTGCTTGGCAGGATGATCTCCGGCCAACTGATGGTCACTGCTGTCCACTGGTCTGCGGCAATGTCGTAGTACTGGTAGAATCCTTCGAAGGTGTCGCTATCCAAGACACCCAAAAAATGGATCTTGTTGTCCCTGAGATAGGATACCATGGCCTGATTTTCATCGTCCGCCCCCCTGCTCATTGAAACTGGGCACGTCGCCGACAGTTTACCCCAGACGTTTGTCTTCACATTGTAGTAGGGTAGCTGGCCGTTGCCAGCGATGTTTGTACCATTCCCGTCCTTCCCAAACGTGAGGTAGATGTGATCGTTTGTCGCAACTGCCTCCACATCGCTGCAGACTTTGTTCATGGACGGGATGTAAGACCAGGTGTGATTGGCCTCGTTATAGCGTTCTACCGTCGTCACGGGCACTTCGCCGATGGACCCACCGAGGAACATCCTCTCGCTCTTCCCACCGATGGCGTACAAGCAGCCACCGCATGGCACCAGGGCGAAGTTCGCTCTCTTGGCACTCATGTTGCGTACCCTGGTCCAGGAGTTCTCGATCACAGAGAAGCAGGAAACGAAAGAAGTCACGCGATTCTCGGGCCACAATCGCCCTCCGGCCACGTAAACCTTCCCGTTCAAGGCCGCTATCGCGTTAAACGTAACCGCGTAGTTCAGAGGACACAGCTGGCACCACGTGTCCTGCCTTGGCAGGTAACACATCATCTCAGTGGTCCCGTCCTCGTTGCCTGGCAACCTGCTCACCCCGCCCATTACCATGACAACCTCCTCCATCTTTCCAGACCTTGCGTTCAAACGTCCAGATGACGACTCTTCTTCTTCAGATGAAGACGTCTGTGCGGCGATGTATTTCTGACACTCCTCACTCTCCCTGACCAACTGTTCCGTCTTCACGAATTCTTCCAAGTAGGCTTTAGGGATGTCTGTGAATCGAATGTGTGTAAACAGGGTGGGGAAATGGTCCTTTCTTGCGGGCAAATCACGCTTGGTCCAGGCCACCAGGAAGCCGAACAGTTCCTCTTCTTTAGCCACCTGCAGTAAGTCGTCTGCTAAGAGGTCTTGTACGCTGTCGAGAGGGATGTCTAGAGTTTCCTCCCGCTCGATCACAGCATGGACGTTCTTACGGATGGTCTCATTGGCAGCTTGGAGGAGATTGTCGCTCTTGTATACCTGAGCCAGTGCCTTCATGGCCAGGCAGTTGGACACGTCCAATTGTTCCTGTGATAAACAAAACAACAAACATTCTAAACAAACACAAGCATTGAGAATCCTATCTATAGTAACCACCTGTCCAAATAGACCTCTCAGTGGTCTCCTTGGTTAGTCACTGACCATAGTGTATAAATAATGCAAACAGGGGAGACTCATTAATAATAGCATGTAGAACTATAAAGGGGAGATTCATCTCACCAGGAGGTACTGGATGCACAGCTCCTTGACCTCCGTCATGAGCAGGTGGTCTGCCGTCTTCAGGAGTTCCTCCACCGTGTCCTCCTGAATCCGGAGCGCTCCGGAGTACATGTACGCCAGCAGCTCCTCCAGAACCTCCGCAGATGTGAAGTTCAGGGTCGCCGTGCCGCTCTGCTGTTCCACCATGTTGGTCTGAATGAAGAAAAGGTAAATGTTACACTATGCTGTTGGCATAGAATGGAGAGATGGACTCACTAAGACTGTAGATACATACAAACCTTGCATTCTGGAAGCGTTACCAGGCTACACAAGGTCATTCTATGGGGGAGATCGAGGAAGATCACCTTACTTGGTGCACTGATTCTTCTGAGCCTTAGCTATACAAAGATACATAGTTTGGAGGGGATGGTACCTGCTGCATTTACATTGTATCTAGCAGGGCTATGGGAATACTAGACTGCAACTGGAGACAGAAAACTTCTAAACTCCAAGCAGATGTGGGGAGGAAAGATACGAACACTGTCGAACAGCTGTTTTCACTGAGAGATTTATGTTACCAAAACAGGCTAACGGGAAAACAACAATACTCTACAACAGGATCAATGTGGCTGGAGAGTTGCCTAAAATGTTGCAAAATTTATTGTATTCATAATTTATATGGTAAAGAATCGTTTGAAAATCCCATTTATTTGCAGGGATCTAGAGCTTAGTTAGTCGCTCCTTTGATCGAGCACCGCTCTTTTCTACTTAACTGGAGCTGGACAGACTTGATTTTATCATGGCAACTGGTTCAACTACCTTGGCAAATGAACCTCAAATAATTTTATCGCTTCCACAATCGACAAATTATCATGCCATGCTTGAACCGCCAAAAACCATACCTGGAAAAGTGTGTCGAAATACGGGCTACAGGCGGCCAGCACATTGCGATGAACACGGAATTCTTTCCCCTTTGACTTCAGCGTGAAGTCCGTGTACTTGTCCTCTCCTCTCTGCTGACTGATTCGCTGTAAAAGTTCAAATTCATGCCGAATATTCCACACCCTCCGCCCGCCAAGTTGCTCAGCGGCAGCCATCTTGGTGGAAAAAAAGTGAAAGTAATGTCATAGGTCATGACGCGTGTGCAGTCAGCGGCAGTGAAATTTCCGCGGGGGAGGTGCCACTAGCAAGTCTCGAGATCCAGTCCCCTTTTTTCACCCATTCCGCTCGGGAAAATTTTTAAAGGATATTCGGGTCACTAAGCAAGAAAGGCTGGCAAGTTTGAAATGTCAGGATCGCTTTAAGAGCGCCAGGAAATGTAGAGATTTTACAGCAAAACGCTGTAGTGTATGATTTGAGGTCGGCTGCAAAATTTGTCAACATTACTGTGAGTTGTTGGTGCCATATGGTAGTGTGTGTCTTGCAGAGTGACCCGCTATGGAGGACGTCCTAACGCAGATCGCTAGAGACGCCTCAAGTGCCAAACACAAGGCGGTCCGAGACGCCTGCGTGGCAGCCACCGGTGGGTATTTCTTCTGTTGTTTATACAGGGTTTACACTACATAAACCGGGCTCCGCCCCCTCCCCTTAAACTTGTTAGGCGGTTGTTG